CTGGTGGTTTTGAGGGCTAACTTGGTGCCGCGTATGACGTAGTATAAGTGCTTTTGTGTGTGACAGAAGTTACTTGAATTTTAAGAGAAGAGGGGGTGCTTTTTTAAAAGACATGCAACGTTAACATGATAACTGAAGGGCTGTGTGTGTGCATTGCATAGCATTGTTAAAGTCAATAAAGGCACATAGCTTATGTTCAGAAGCTTTTGCTGTGAATTCATAGAAATGATGTAGTGCCTGACTCACAGGAGGGAAGAAAGGAGGAGAAGCCCAGATGAGATGATAGCTGACAAAGATGCTCTAAATGTCTTAATTGTTCAGTTTTAGTTAACACCAGTAAGATGATGTCACAGGAATAAACAACAACCTCTTCTTTGGAGAAGTCTGCACAGTTTGATACTGCTGTTTGGGGGTGGGGGTGGGCATGGGAGGGTGAGCTACCCAAAAGGGTAGCTCATAGTTGTACAAGAAGCATTGTTTGTGATGAAGGGTGGGCTTCTCAAGGAATTACCTCAGCTGTAAACTGACTTCATCTACATCTCCTGGCCTGATGTACGGATCAAGCAAAGTTGCCCTCATATTTTATCACTTTGTAGAATTGTTAGGAATTAACGTTGTTTGTTAATTTTGCACATTTAAAAAAACCCCTAAAATTTTTTGTAACATGATGGAATGGACTTGGTGTTAGCATATGTAATGACACAAACTGGAAATAGACTCTTCCATTTGTCTCTAGTTGAAGGTGTTAAAATGATTTAAGAACTGGTTTATGTGGTGCTCTTATTTAAATGTCATTCTAATAGCTATTTTAAATTTTGGAAATGTGTTGATCTGTTGTAACCTCTGGGCATGCACCCTAAAAAAGTATGTGAGACCTTCATAAAATGATAGTGAATAGTAAACTATTTTAATAGTGATTTTGTTATTACTAGGGCAACATCTTTGGCCTGTTGGTAAAAAGATCAGGGAAGATTCCCAAAATAACTTCTTCCAAGCATGAGAAGCAATTCTCTCTCTTTTTATATATATAATAATTTTTATTAAGTTTTCCATTTTAACAATCCAATCCAATCACATTAAATATTCCAAATTATACAAATACATATCATAAAGTCCAAATATTTTGCCAAATTATAAATTTTTGTTGGGGCTTCCCATGCTTCAAGTTCAGTGGGGTCCAATCATCTTATATTTCTACTGCCTTCAGTTTCCAAAAGTTCCTTCTTTCAGTCCTCCTGTTGTTATCTTCTGCATGAGAAGCAATTCTCATTTGCTGAGCTGCATTGTCATAGAAGACAAGCTGTTTTTCTCCTCAAGTTTTTTACCAGTCTCGTTGGGGCCATGTCCTCTTCAGCCATCACCATGACTTTAGTGGTCTTGATTGCATGAATTGTTTGGGAGAGGGTGTGGCAGATCTTACAACTTGGGTGGGAGATTAGACCATGTGACCATTTGGATCCTTTCTACTCTGAATTAAAATAGGTAATAGCTTTCCCTACAGAACGTACCCTGCAAATGAGATTCAGTTATCTTCTGCTTAGACTATTAATCACACAGTATCTCACACTCTCACTCTCCATAGGAAAGGTTTAGAGAGGGCTTTCTCACAGATTTGTATTAAAAACACCAAGGTAGCTTAGACCCATTTTTGATATTTTTAATGAGTCCGCAGAGTGTTAATGAAATTCAGACTCTTCTCCCCCATTTTTTCTCCCTATCTTTTCTCTTTCAGCTGATGGCAGCGTGGTATCCAAATTTTGGAGGACTGCGAGGTCACTTCCCTTTGTCATCTTTGAAAGTCTATTTCCATAGTATTAGTAGAATTCTTTAAGTACAGATTTGGCATAGTAATGTAATGCCTTCATAATGTACAGTGCTTTATGGCATTCATATTCCTTTGTATGGGCAACAAAGATCTTAACCCCCTGGGGAGCTGGGACCTTCTGCTGTACAAGAATCCTGCCTAAGGCAAATAAAGTTTCCAAACACTCCTTAACTGAGCAGAGAAGATGGTTGGCATTTAGATGGCATTAACCCATCTAAGCAAACTGGATTTTGCCCACTAAAGGCTAATACGTAAAGGCTAATACATCAAATGTCAGTCAAGTACTCTTTCCTTAAATGTGGTAGGGCCACAAAACTGATCCTGTGCTCTGCTTCATAAAATGAAACATTAGGCTTACAGTACTGGTAAAAGGAATTTTCTAAATATTGCTCTGACTTGGGGAGTTGCCGCAACATCTGTATCTAACAGATTGAGGTTGAATCCTGACAAGACAGAAGTACTGTTTTGGGTGGACAGGAGGCGGGCAGTTGTGGAGGACTCCCTGGTCCTAAATGGGATAACTTTGCCCCTGAAGGACCAGGTGCACAGCCTGGGAGTCATTTTGGACTTGCAGCTGTCCATGGAGGTGCAGGTCACTTCTGTGTCCAGGGCAGCTGTTTACCAGGTCCATCTGGCACGCAGGATGAGACCCTATCTGCCTGCTCTAGTTATCTCTCTCTTGGACTACTGCAATTCGCTCTACATGGGGCGACCCTTGAAGGTGACCCAGAAACTACAACTAATCCAGAATGCAGCAGCTAAACTGGTGACTGGGAGCGGCTGCGGAGACCACATAACACCGGTCTTGAAAGACCTACATTGGCTCCCAGTACGTTTCCGGGCACAATTCAAAGTGTTGGTGCTGACCTTTAAAGCCCTAAATGACCTCGGTCCAGTATACCTGAAGGAGCGTCTCCACCCTCATCGTTCTACCTGGACACTGAGGTCCAGCGCGGACGGCCTTCTGGCGGTTCCCTCGCTGCGAGAAGCCAAGTTACAGGGAACCAGACAGAGGGCTTTCTCGGTAGTGGCACCTGCCCTGTGGAACGCCCTCCCACCAGATGTCAAAGAGAACAAGAACTACCAGACTTTTAGAAGACGTCTGAAGACAGCCCTGTTTAGGGAAGCTTTTAATGTTTGAGGACTATTGTATTTTAATATTTTGTTGGAAGCTGCCCAGAGTGGCTGGGGAATTATTATTATTATTATTATTATTATTATTATTATTATTATTATTATTATATCTGGGTAGCTGTAGCTAGAACTCTGCTGCACTAGCATGGGGAGAGTGGAGAAAGAGTGCTGGGCAGAAGCCTTGGAGCCAATCAGCCACTATCTCTAGAGCTAGATCCATGTCTATCAAATACTGGAATAATTGAGTGATGGCAAATGTAATGGTGGGCTTTGAAGCAGGTTTTAGCAAGGAGTGGACTGCACAGCTCTGCCCCTCCCTACTTTCACAGACTGCCCCTAAAGCTGCAGACTTGCCGTGGGGGTTGGGATTGGGTTTCCCAACTTCATAACATGCTGACCTTTAGTGGGTCAGAACCCACTACCAGGCCACAGCCTGATCTAAGTTGGGTTGCAACAGCAGCATCCAGCACCATACAGATATATGTAACATAAAAATAGGAATGGGTCCTCAATTGCTTGTTTGGGTTAAAGGTGGGTCCTGAGTTAGGAAACATTGAAGACTATGGATCTATTGAGCTCCTGGTTGCTCTACCCTTCAGATTAGGGCCTTTTTGTACTACGTAAACACTTACTGATTAGTCAGAGGAAGTGAAAAGAATAGCCATGTTCTTGACCGGCAAGAATTCCTTCTCCTTGACTTCACCTTCACATAATGCTTTCTCCATTTTCCACCTTCCAATTTTATAACTTTCATTTCATTACAACTCCTTCAGCTTTCCAACAGGACCTTGCCACTTCTAACAGCAGCATATATAACTAATCCAAGAAAGGTCGCACACAGTATGTCAGATCATGCAGAGCCAATATGTGAGTGTCAATGATGACTTGTGCCTGCAGTGAAGCGAATGGAAGACTGTAGCCAGCAGTCATCAACATTCATTTGTTTTCATAAGCATACTAAACGTCTGAGGTAGATAACATTTTGGTGAATGTGAGATTCATGATTTGCCTTAAAAAGATTTGACAAAAACAAAGCTGGTTGATGAAGGGCATGCCCATTTGCTTGGAGAACAATAGCCATAGGGATAACCTTACCACAAGGTTGCTGTCTAAAGGGGCTATAGTGCAACAGAAGTAGGATGAAAATAAACCTGAATAGTTGTGGTATAAGTGGTACAGGATTTCAGAAGTAACAGGATATGCGCTGACTGGAAATGAAGCAATAGGACCACCCTACAACTTTTGCCAGTGCAAGCAATATTTAAAGTGGGATCGTGTATGACTGCCCTGATAACAGCATGAGCACAAATCATCATGAACATGCTGTCAAGAGGAGCCTCAAGTGGTATGAATCATGGGATAGCTGTTCTCAGGTGTTTGGTTGCCTGACGTATTTCAAGTCAATGCTTGCGCCTATATTTTTTCAAGATGGGTGTTGGGGGTATGTGGGAATCTATCCCCTTCGTTCTATTCTAAAGGCAAGCAAAGATAGTGGAAGGAAACACGCTTCAAATTGTCACAACTTGCAGTGGAGGGTGGAAGAGTCACTGTGGCAATTTGAATGTGAAATTGATCTGAAGAGCTGCTTTGCGCCTCTGAAGTCTTGCCATTGATCTTCATGTAATGAATTGCTGGGGCTCCAGGGCCCAAGATGGGTGAGTGGAGTTGTGATGTATCCTCTGCTGCCTCCAAACAAATGTTTTTCTACTCCGCCAATAAATCTTGCAGAGACAGAATCCATTTTGTATATTACTTTTTTAAAACACACGCATACACACACACACACACACCCCTTGGGGTTTATTTTTTGTTTATTTTTAAAGAAACTTTTATCAAATACCCATAAGAAACAAAATGAGGGAATTGATTTCTGTTACGAATGTACGTTGTGGTTGAGTACCAAAACAATGAGAGAGTTTCAAAGTCTGTCCGTAAAACAGAATTAAGATGGCTACGCTTGTCAGTTTCACGTTGTCATTATAAGTGTTGATGGGGAGATGAAAGTGAAGGTGTTTAACACAATGCCTGTTACATTCCTTAGGTGCTGGAACAAGATGTGGTTCTCCAGTCTATTGACAGAGCTATTGAGGCCATTCATAATGCCGCAATGAAGAATGGGGGGAAATACAACTTGGAGCAGAGGGATGTCCTCCAGTAAGTACAGCAAGCAGTAATATTCAAGAAAGTATGGAAATAATGTTAGGGAAGGCACATATGAACGCAAATGACTGTAAGGCATGCAGTTAGCATTCAGGGCCAAGCCAGGTATTTAAAAGACATATGGAGCGGTGCCTGCTCTATCACTTTTTTGTACTCCAGTCTCATCAGGAATTGTTGGAGCTAACACCTGATTGCTTCACATCTCTGCATAATCACAAAACCTGCTCCCTAAAAAATAAAATAATACTAACAACAATGTTATTATTTGTACTCTGCCCATCTGACTGGGTTGCCCCAGCCACTCTGGGCAACTTCCAGCATATACAGGATATGATAAAACATCAAACATTAAAAAGAACCTGGTGCCTCCAGAGAATGGAGAGGGAGGAGGGAGCAACGAGTCCTGGAAGCCTAGAGCTTCCTTAGCTAGCAACTCCTTGCAGCCACTTTAAACCCCGAGAACGCAGAGGGCGGAGCAAGGCAGACACATTCAGAAAAATCGGACTAAGCACAACCCAATAGTGGACAAATAAACATGGGTTTTCTGGAGAGGGTCCAGGGCAAAAGTAGAAAGTGCACACGTGAACCTCAGGATTTGCTAGCAACTCTAGATCAGCCCTGAGAAACTATCCATTTACTACAGATTTTCTCATGATAGTCCCACCTAGAAAAGGCTGCTGGGTATCTGGGCTTGACATGTGCAGACACAATCTTTCTTTTGTAATATATTTTTATTTGTTTTTCAATTGGTGGAGTGTTATCTGGCACTAATAATGGTGGCTACAACTACTACCCATTCCCTTTCCCAGCCCTGCCCACCCAATAAGGGAAAAGGGGGGGGGGACAGAAAAAAGCAGTAGGCTACTAGAATAAGCAACCCAATGTGGTAAGCAATAAGGAAGACAAAAGGCTTGGATATGCAAGAAGAAGTGGGAAGGGTAGGGAGAATGGGATATAGGAGGGATGTGCAGCAGCAGATGAACCCAGGTAATATGAGAATTACAAAGAAAACCATGCCATATAAATGGGAAGATGTCAGCATGCTTGCCAGTGATTAAGTGATGCTAATCCAGACACCCTCCTGGGGGAAACATGAGGATTTCCAGTTGTAATAAGATGATCCTTTTGGCAACCAAAGCACCTCTATGAATCCAGAGCACCTGATTTTTCAGAAGTGCCCATAGAATTGGTATGTATTCCAGATCAAAGTATTAAAATTTAAGGAAGAGGATAAAGCCACAGTAGTTTCATCACGAATTATGTGCAGGTGCCAAGATACCAAAGAGTTGTGTAATCTTGAAATCAATGAAGCTTTCTTTCCAAGGTGGTAACCAAAGCTTAAAATGCTGCATTCACACTGTTTGCAATCGAGTTTCATTGGAGGGGAAGTAAAGAGCTTTGCAGAGTTTCTTCCTCTAAACTGAACTCCTTGGTTTTCTAGGCTAAAAATGTCTGGTGCCTGCAAATCAAAACAGGTTTTCTTTCCAACATTGGTACTTCAGTTTCATGAGAGATACATTCTTTCCTCGCACACATCTTTTTGTCGTCAAATATGTAATGTGTCATGAACAAAAGGGCAAGAAATAGTAAACCTTGCACACCATGAGTAGGAGATGGGAACATTCATTGGGAGGAATTCAGCATTGCACTGATGGAATGATCCCCTCCCCACTTGCATGTTGCTCTGGGAGTTCTCCCAAGCCCCTCCCAGAGTTTCTAGGGGCTCAGGGAAATGGGGGAGCCCTGTTGTGAAAGTGGAAGACCTTGCAAAGGCACTCATTAGATGAATCCTGCCCATAGCTTTCGATAGCTCACTGGAATTGGATTCATTCTGCCGTCGAAGTAAGATCTTCAAGGTCAGTCCGTGTTCACAGTTCAGTAATATGACTTCAGCTTTGGAACTCTGGACCAGTTCTGTGAGCTCTACTTCCTCAATATGGCTGTTGTTTTATATTGCCAGGAAGCTGATACATCATCGGAAGGAAACTGTTTCCCGCAAAAGTCACTCGCCATCCACTCAAGGAATGACTCCATCTTCCAGTGATCATCACCTGGACCTAGCCAGGCAACCCAATGGCGTCTGCAGGACTGGATATGAGCGACACCATAGCTTGCCTAACACAGATCCCCAAGAGGAGGAAGTTGGTGTTTACCAGGTGAGATTTGTGGCATATTTAATCCTTTATCTTACAAGATATGTACTCCGTGTGCTAATCGTGTCGATTTTTTTTCTTGGCTGGGAAAGAGAATTTCCACCTCTTACACTTAACCGTTTACAGCTGGCTGAGAGTGTTGATCCTAGAGAATAAGTAAAGAGCTGGGTTTTTTTATTGGACCTGCCAGCTATTTAGAAGCTCAACCTCCATGCGTTATTTTATTGAGCATAGGTGAAAATATGTTACATGCCACCTGCTGTTTCTTGTCAGTGTTCTGTTTTGAGAATGAAGGAGGTGACTGCAGGTGATATTAACTGAACGGCAGCTTGAGATCAGTTCTTAAGTTGTGTTCACTACAGTTGACAAGCACTATAGAGTACCTGAACCTATGATAGACCTGGCTACTGTGTATGATGGTTTCATTTGTAAAACTTTGGGGAACTCCCGGGAAGAGGCCAATAGGAGAGAGATTTGTGAGAGCAGATTAGGGCATTCAGCAGTCTCGTAACTCGCTTTTAAAGAGATGCTGATTTCTCAGATAAGTAGGAAAAATGTATTTGGGACAGTGTTTCTTGTTGTCTTGCCCATTCTTCGACAGATTAGTTCTTTTAACTACAGTGACTGCTTGTTCCCCAGTTTACTGCATTGCGCAATATGCCTTAAATTTTCTGTGCTGATGATAAACTAAGGAAGGAAGCACAGGAAATATGATTTGTAAGCAGAGATTTGTTTATTTAAGGCATTTATATCCTGTTTCTCTAAAAAGACTGTTGGAGCAACTTACAAAAATTAGAACTAGGCTGGTCCATGGCACACTAGGGGAAAAAACAATGGGAGGGACAAAGGAAGCAAAACTTAGTTTTGTAGACATTTAAACATATTCTGAGACTTCTCTGATGCCCGTGTATGTCTTTCAATAGGTAGGCTGAGTTCTGAAGGTGTTAGTACAGTTTGCTGGAATTACTGGCCCAGTAAAGTATGGGTTCCTTTCCCTCCCAAAGGAACAGGGAGACTCTTCCTTCAGAAATGACGTTATTTGTCGTAGTGATTGTTAGGACATTAATATTGACGGGAACTATAAAAAAGGTCGTCTGAATGGAATGGAGCATGTCACTTGCCATAACAACTTGTTTCTTGATCTATTTATATCTACACTCAAGGCAAATAAACTCATTAGATCTCCTTTGGAAGAGGCCAGAGAATGCTTCTCTATAGACAGAAAAATGAATGATGGAAATCCACTCCCCATCTGTATTCTCCATTATGACCCTCAGTGCCAGTGAAGCTCTAGCAAAACATGAAGTGCCTTGACTAATAGGAAGGAAGCTTCCCAAACCCAATTTGGCTATAAATCCTCCACAATCTCTTTTGAGTGTGCTCCTGATGGAATGCGCTTTGCACTGTGATAAACAGATGATGAATTTAGAATCGCTGGAGAGAAGATACTTTTTGAACATCCAAATTGAAGAATACCAACCTGTCAGCTCTCCTGATTGTTAAGATTGACTTCTGTTTGGCACCGCCATCACCGTTGTTTCCTAAGTAGAGTTGTTAGCAAAGGTAAACAGGGAATTGCTGCCAAAATGATATTGAGGATGGGGCAATGGGGTTTGGAGGACACGTGTCGTAGGGCACACATCTTGCAGAGCCAATGCCCCTCCCCAGATACTTTTAAAGATCCTTAAAAAAAACAACACAACCCAGAAACCTTGGACTTGGGGGAAGCATGTTCTGTTAGACTGTTAGACAGTTTGCTCTCAGCCCCCCATACTAGGGATTTTCGGGGTATTGGGACATGTGCTCCTTTTTGCACAAGAATCTCTAGCTAGCAAGGGTATGCTAAACCTGAAGTGATCAGAACTTATTTAAGGGTGTGACTTGTGATATGGTCTTACACGTGAAACCAGCTTGCAAGGAGAGAAGGAAGATGGAAGTAGATTCACCAACAACAACCCTCCCCCCATTTCTTTTCAGTATTCCCTTGTTATTGTTGGTGCTTCTCTTAGAAAGCATCAAAGCATCAGCAGCGTGAAATTGACCTGATTCTTTGAAATTTCACAGGCTCTCACTTCTGGTCGACATCCAGAAAAACAATAAGCAGCAAACATGTTCAAAACTGGGCTATTCTTGTCATTCTACAAAGCAAGGGTAGATGCAGAGGAAACTCAGGCAGCTTCAACATTGAGAGCAGAATTGTGCTTCATTATGGAAATATGCCGTTTCCAAGCTTGTGTTGCCTGGTAGTGCTAAATAGGGACGGGGCATTTACATGGGAGAATTCTTCAACCACTGAGTGGTATTGACAATGTCCCTCTCCCGACCATTTTAAAAAACTGTTCTGCCCACCATCATGGGCTCTGAAGCTGGAAGAAATCTGGCTATTGGGAGAAAAACATTCTTGTGGGTATTGACAGGGGAGGATTAGCAGGAGCTGTTGAGCTTTCTTGCCCGCAGGCACACGAACCAGCAGGAATGTATTTGAGAAATATATATTTATTTGCCTGTGCAAAGCATACTTACAGCTACACCTGCGGCTGAGCTTCCAGCCTTCATAACAATAATGAAGGTGTTGCTTTATAATCTTATCAAGTCTCAGACGGAATTTTTAAAAATAACTCCTGCTTATGCAAAACAACCAACTATATTTGTCTTATCTGTGTTGCATCCTGCTTTGGGGTTTTTAAAAAGATTTCCTGAACACCACCCAGGACTAAAGTACAAATTTTCATCGTTTTGTAAAAAAGAAAAGAACAAATAGGGGTCAATTTGAGAAGTTTGATGGAAACCATTGAAAAATCAAGATCCTTTCTTAGCTGACTGCAATGGAACATTTAAAATATCTGGCTTATTTAGTTATATTTATTTATTGGTTTCCAAGTGGCGTGAAGCACTTTTATTTGCAGTTTTGTACACTGCCCTAGAATCATTTATTGGAGCGCTGCTAAGAACTTAAATAAATAATATAAAAACAAATTCTGCTGCTTCCTCGTCATACCAAGCAGTTTTCAGAGCCTTTAAAGTTTACAGAATGCCAAGGTTTGAAGATTTAAGTTGACTTGGTGCATGTTCATATACATAATCTTTTAGGGCAGGGGTGGCCAACTCCCAAAAGACTGCGATCTACTCACAGAATTAAAATCTGGCAGTGATCTACCCCCTTTTTTGGGGTTCAGGTCAAAGTTGTTGGCCTTTTTTAGGGAGGAGGAAAGCCCTGATTTTTGAGAATTCAGGGGGACAAAAGGGAAAAGCGCCACTCACCAACGGATCACTGGCGAAGCAAACAGCCTCACTGAATAAACTCCGTCTTCCATTCTGCAGATCGTGCAACGATGGAGGGTGGGGTGAGGGGGCGGAGACGGATTTTATTTTACCAATGCTAAGGAAAGGGACCCAGCCATCGACCGCAATCTACCAAAACCTCCCAGGGATCTAACAGTAGATCACGATCGACCTGTTGGACATCCCTGCTTTAGGGGAAAGGAAGAGACATTTTGCCAGTATTTTGAAAGATATCCTTTATGTCCTTAACTCCCAGCTGTCTGATATTTATTGAGATGGAATACCCATAATTTCTGAATGAACAAATGAGTTGTTGTCTTTCGTTAGAATCATGTGTAAGCATTGCCATTTTTCAAATGAGTAACACTTTTTTCTTTAAACTTAAAAAAAAAATAAAGGGCAGGGGTACCTTTACCTTTAAAAAAAAATAAGGGACTGAGCTTGCGCTTCATCATGGTTTTAAGTATTGTGTTTATGAACTGTAACTGTTAATTCTGGGCTTGGAGTAAAGAATGACTGTGGAAGGCAAACACATAGGCCTCACTATGGTAATGTAGTGAATGGGATGGAGCTGTTTAAATAGTATCTTCCATTAAAAAAAAAATCATTTCATTTTATCTATTTATTTATTTTTTATTCTGGATTACGATTGTCAGAATGATGAAAGGCCAGAAACAAAGTATGGCGTAAGTTAACATATTTTATGGTTGTAGTTTCTAACTCCATATACCCTAATTTTAACTTTTTAATACTTAAGTGTAAAATGTTCTGCAAAACATAACCATAGGCTATGCTTGTTCTGTTCAAAAGCTGCATTTCATTTTAGTTTCCATTTATCTCCTGCCCACTGCTGTTTAACCAATCATGTTTATATCTAATTCCTAGTATACCGTTGACATGAAGCTGCCACTTGCAAATCACTGTTCTGCAAAATATGCTGCTTACATTAGAATATGCAAATGACTGGCTATTTGGGATGCATGGAGTTCCACAAATAAGCTGGCCTAAGCACATGAAAAGTTCTGAACATTTTTCTTCAAATGAACTTCTTTTGAACATCCTTTAAAGCAGCAGCCACCCCCAACCTGATACCCTCCGGGTGTTGATAGAATATAACCCCCTCAGTTTCCAGCCAGCATGGCCAGAGGCCAGAGATTATATGACTTTTAGTCCCAAACATCTAATGTAGCTTCTAGAGGAGCCAGGTTTGATTCCTTTTTACTTTATTTATAAAGCACATTATAAAATGATAAATTCAGCATTAAAATGATAAATTCAACAATAGACTAAAATTGTTGTTGTTGTTTAGTCATTTAGTCGTGTCCGACTCTTCGTGACCCCATGGACCAGAGCACGCCAGGCACTCCTGTCTTCCACCGCCTCCCGCAGTTTGGTCAAACTCATGTTCGTAGCTTCGAGAACACTGTCCAACCATCTCGTCCTCTGTCGTCCCCTTCTCCTTGTGCCCTCCATCTTTCCCAACATCAGGGTCTTTTCCAGGGAGTCTTCTCTTCTCATGAGGTGGCCGAAGTACTGGAGCCTCAGCTTCACGATCTGTCCTTCCAGTGAGCACTCATGGCTGAATGGATAGGTTTGATCTTCTTGCAGTCCATGGGACTCTCAAGAGTCTCCTCCAGCACCATAATTCAAAAGCATCAATTCTTTGGCGATCAGCCTTCTTTATGGTCCAGCTCTCACTTCCATACATCACTACTGGGAAAACCATGGCTTTAACTATACGGACCTTTGTTGGTAAGGTGATGTCTCTACTTTTTAAGATGTTGTCTAGATTTGCCATCGCCTTTCTCCCAAGGAGCAGGCGTCTTTTAATTTCGTGACTGCTGTCACCATCTGCAGTGATCATGGAGCCCAAGCAAGTAAAATCTCTCACTGCCTCCATTTCTTCCCCTTCTATTTGCCAGGAGGTGATGGGACCAGTGGCCATGATCTTCGTTTTTTTGATGTTGAGCTTCAGACCATATTTTGCGCTCTCCTCTTTCACCCTCATTAAAAGGTTCTTTAATTCCTCCTCACTTTCTGCCATCAAGGTTGTGTCATCTGCATATCTGAGGTTGTTGAGACTAAAATAATAATTTCTAAAACAGTGTTTGTTTTAGATATGACATGCAATTCAGCAAAGCAATAGGACCTTGAGCAAAAAAAAACCCCCTCAGCTTCCACCAAAGGCCTGAGTGAACAGATGTGTCTTAAGTAGATGCCCCAAGCCCAGAAGTGTTGAAGCCATTGGTGTCTCCAAAAGCAGAGAATTGCACAATCTACCGTACATCACCACACAGCAAGCTGCACCTAATGATGGGACAACTATAAAGGCCCATCAACAAACTCTGTGTTTGCACTTTGTAAAAACATGAAAACCAAGACCAACACTTGCAAACCAAAGGAAGCATGCCTAATTGTGCAGTGGATTGGGGCCATACTTGCGAGGAGTGTTAAAGACCTCCCTATCCTCCAAGCTATGTTTGTGATCCAAACTGGGCCCCCTGCACTGGCGACGTGTGGGGAAGAAAGAACCACCTACACATACAAGCACAGCTACATATCTTAACATAATGTGTAGTTTAACTCTGAGTGGTGCATCCAATAAATTGCATTCACCAAACCGATGCCCTCCAAAGGTTTTAGATTACAACCTCCATAAATTGGAAAAGGTTGCTACTAATAGAAGACACTGGGCATTCCTTTTGTAAATGCTGTGTCCTTTTCTAAGAGATCACTCTCTGTTTAAGGTGTATCAAGAATGAGGAACCTGCAGCCCTCTGTGCTGTTGGGCTGCAGCCCAGCTGCCATCATCCTTGGCCATGCTAGCTGGGGCTGGTTGATGGTAGGGAGTCCAAGGACATCAGAAAGGCCTGAGGTTCCCCATTCCTGATGCGTATGGTGAGATCTTGTTTCTGTGGTATATTACAGGTCCCATAAAGAGCACTCATAAGTAAGATGGCTTTGTTTTTTGAAATACTGTCACAGAGTTGGAGAGTGTGGAGGACTAGATGCTACTGAGTTGCCAAAGGGGGAACAGATGGATTGGGAGATGGGGGTAAAAGATGGAAGAGCTATGGTGGACTCTTTCTTGGGGAGCTAACCAATAAAAGACACACACACACACACACACACACACACACACAAACACACGGAAGGACAGAACCTCTGGCTCCAGGATATTTGAATCCTCTGAATTTCTGCCCCCCCCCCTTTATATACTTTTATACTGCCATTTTACAGGGTTTACAGGGTTTAGGTTGTGTTCTTGTTTTAATGATACATTACCTGTTTTAGACTGTACTCCGCTTATTTGAAATAATAATCAGTATATAAAGGCATTTGAATAAGTATAAGGAAAGGACTGTCCTTTTTTTCTGGGAGGGGGAGAGAAGAGAGGGGAAAACCATAGATGAGGAAGAAGAGTGCAAGAGACAAGTGCTGGCCCAAAGGGTGAGATTTTTGGTCTCCACCATCCAGACTCCTCCAAATAAGCATTGGTGTCAAGAGAGTTGCTTCCAGCTGCCACCTGAGTGGCAAGAACTCCAGGAGCAAAATGAGGCCAAATAGAGGAAATCAGGTGCAGGACCCCTGTGGTGATGTAGCCCCTCAGAGCCTTAAGTTTGGGGAAGTGGGCTGTGTTAAGGAGCCCAGAATGGCGTGTGCCATTGGATGGGAAACTGTCCTCTAGCTGGCTAACCACCTTTGTTATAACAAACACTAATGGGAAGCAGTGTTAGAAACTGAGATATGAAATCTAGGAGCTAAATGGCACCTTAAGCCTAGGTTATGGGCACAACAACGGAATGTCTAGGTGCGCTTTTTTTGTAACAAGAATACTAAGCTGAAAATGAATGAACTGCAGCTAAAATAATATGTTAATTTTTCACATGGTCTACTCTTTCCCTTGCCCGTCCCCCTAATATTCTTAAGAGGGTCTCTTCTCCAGTCTTCAGAAAGTAGCTGAAAGTGGGCAGGCAGAAAAAGGTCCTCTTTTCCTTCCATTCTGCAGTTTTAATCTGAAATTGTAGGCACAGTACGGCGCCTAAACTGATTGTGCTAATGAAATTTCCTGTTTCAAAATGCGCCTAGAACAATGGGAGTTTCTAACACGGATGGGAAGTGCTTCTTCTGTATCCCAAAAGAAGGAAATTGAGCCTTAAAACCTAGAGCGACTTCTGTCTAATCCAGATGTCACAGACGGACTATCTAATCTAGCCTCTGTCCCTCTCACCTCCCCCCACTGCTGATCAAGCTATGCAATTAATATTCCAGCCTTATCTGCTCACAGAAGAATTGTGTGACTTTGGAAGTGTGCTAGCTGTAGGGAGCTCTAAGCACCGTGCACGAGTCAAAGCTTTCCTTGTCAGGAGCCTCTGCAGGGAATGAATGGCATTGTAAATGGCCTTGTCTAGCCTGAGACTTTTTTCCGGTCTCAGTAAAAAATGCTCTGAATGCATTAATGCGAAGAAAACCTACATGCTTCTCGTCTTTGTTTTTATCCCTTTGCGAGCATCATTTGTTGCATGGATCGCTCCGAATGCATCTAATATGCACATGGTTTGCTGCCTCTGTGGAGGGGCTGAGAGGAAGGCAAAGTGTACGTGTTTGACAGGTCTGTGTAACACAAGCACACAGTGCACTGCTGAACGTAGCAATTAAACATGCTGCTTGTCTTGTCCATGGGAGGGAGGAAAGTGACACGTTCAGACGCTTCCGCTTTGCTCTTGGAGGAAACTGATTATTATTAACATTGCTATCCTCCGGCATCTTTAAGGAATGAAAAGAGCAATATTGGGACAAATTTGTGCACACAGAGGGGAAAAAAAATTATTTTTTATGCGCCTGTCTTCGCTACTTCCTTTGATTGTTCTAAAACCTTTTCTTCTAGATCCCACCACAGCCACGCCATGCGGCTCCCGTTACTCCGCCACCGCCAGAGAAATACAAAAACACACAGATGGCTGCCTCTGTTAAAAGTAAGAGAAAATGCTTTTTGCGGCTGTATGACACTGAGGATCAGATGCATTGCTCAGCTAACTTATTTGGTGGTCAACGATTAGGAATGTGGAAAACTTGCTTATAGTATGTCAGGCTGTTGATCCTGTCAAGCTCAGCATTGTCTACATCACGGTGGGGATCCTCTGAGTCACAGGCCTGGTTAGGCCCACCAGGCCTCCCTGTTTGAACTGTCAGGTCGTTTTGGCCAAGCCACGTCCACCTGCCCTATAATCATCTGGTGTGGGGTGGGTAACATACCACTGAGCTACTTCCGGCTGTGTGTGTTCCACAAGATGGAAAGGATTGTATTATAGATAAGAGTTTATTCCAAATGTTTTGCTTTTGTATTTTTTTGCCATGGAACTTTGAAGAAGGCTTGCAGTCCTAGAACGATTTTTTCCCATTGTTCTAAAACCTTCTAGCAGAAAGCTTTCCAAACTTCTCATGTTGGTGACACACTTTTTAGACATGCATCATTTTGCGACACAGTAATTCAGTTTTACTAGCAAACCGGAGGTTAAACTAACCCCTTTCCAGCCCTGGAAGCAACGTGGGGAGCTTTTGCGTGACACACCTACACACTGTAGCCGACACACTAACATGTCGCGGCACACAATTTGGAAAGCTCTGTTCTAGCATGATTTCAGCTAGTTGAGAACTTCAGGCTGTTCCCATATGATTTTTTTTTTTACAAAACCACCAGTCCTATGACTTAAAGTTGTTATCATGGGTAAATTTTCATGAGTAAGCACACAATATAAACATGCGTATTTTAGAAAGCTCAGGAATGGATTGGTGTATCTTTGTGTCCTTTGTGGCTAGATTTAGGTATTCCAGAAACTCCTTGAATCTTTCATCAGTTAGAGAGATACATGTGCCCAGGGCTCCCATCTTAAGAATTTTGGTTCTGGTAGTAACTTGGAGGGAGAACTTAAGAGATTGATGATAAACAGCTTCATGGGAACCACCATCCCACCTCCTTCCTTTCTAGTCAGTTTCAGATGAGCTGGAAGTGGCAGTGATTGGTCTTTCCCAAATGACCTGGCAGTATTTGAATGACAGACATGCCTCTGTGCAGTTAGTTGCTTTGGCTAAGGTGCATAAGCACGTCTTGTTGTTCTTTGGAGTACTGCAACCAAGTGTACTGAGAATCCCAGCTTTCCCCTGTCCAGGATGTGATAATTCCATAGATCACCAGGGGGAGCCCACTAATAATGCAATGATGAAGGGCTCAATTAAGAACGAGCTTTCTGGGAACATTCCATCCTGCTCTTTGTTCGGAGCTGAACATTGTAGAAGCGGTGCTCTCGGGAACCATATTCTTTCAGCTTTTACCAGGAGGGTGTGTCAGTTATGCAACTGCTGGCCGTCAATGATGTATGTTCATTAAATCTGAAATGCCCAGTGTTGTTGAGAACAAAGCAGATAATTCTCCAGTGCTATGCTTTTTTAAAAAATGGATTATCCAAAGGGCCAACCTTATTCAATGGGAACTATTTTCTTCAGGAATGCCCAGTGCAGATATAAAACATAGCCATGGTTAGAACCAATCAGTATTTGTTGCTTTAACCCTGGTTAAGGTTCCTAAGCTAAGTGTTGCCCCTTTAAGTCACCAGTGAGACCCAATTGTCACCTTGTAATAAGAAATGTTTGAGTGTCGGAAGCTGAGCCTAAGTCATAGACCATTGTGGATTTCAGTCAGTCCTGACTACTTCTAACCATAGTTATAATAGCTGTACACACAGCCCCTTTGCCCCTGTTTCACTCTTCCTTTCATGCACATAGTAAAACAAACCAGGAAATTGCAGTTAATCCAAGCTTCCCCTTATGTCTGAAATGGGCAACTGTGGTTAATGCCTTCCAAACAAGTCGGGGAACTAGAGGTGAATTTTAAATCATGGATCCATACCTGGCTTGCTTCTAAGCCATTAGTTTGGGCATGTTACCATCGGGCTTTCTGCCTGCTTCCCCTGCTTATGCAAAGGGAGGAGTGAAGAAGGAGCAAGAGGTGCATGTATAGATCCAAGCTGAAATTTTCAATAACAATAACTCCAACACTTCTAGAATCAAGAGCACTAGGAAGAAACTTTGTCCAATAATTTTTCCATCTGTTTCCTCTTCAGAGATAGATAGCTAAAAATCCAAAAAAGTTGGAAGAAACCATGAACCTTTCTAAACTAGACACATAGTGAGGCAAATACAACAAAAGCAACTTATATTGCTTATAGGAGGCTTGAGGTGTGACGGTCAAAGTATTAGATTGCGTGTAGGTACTAATAATTTACTTAGTACCAGATTGAGCACATACAATGAGTTTCATTATTTAAAGTTTAATCATGCTGGATTATTAGGTGCAAAGGAATTATGCTAGATGAGCCCTAGTCACCCAGGGGAAATTTATACTCTGTTGAAGCAACCAGGCAAATGATAGCATTGAAAACTTGGTGTAAGGAAAACAAACATTGGTTAAGCATTATGACTTAGGCCAAAAAGAATAAAGTATAGTACTTAAACTTGTGTGTTCCTTGAGTCCTACTGGTCTTTGACCGTAATAAATTATCTGAACATGAGTCCTACTCTGTATAGAAAAGAGATCAGTAGGTATAGAGGTTACCAATGTTTCTTTTAAATAAATAAATAAAGGAAAGGAAATATTCTCGAGCCAGATCCTGCTAGGTATGTGTGCTGAGTTCAAGGCAATGAAAGCGTGTTAGTGATTCATTAGCAATTTTAAAAATCCTTTTGGGAATTGAGAATAAATCTGTTCCCCTTTGGTTTTTAAGAGTGGTGGGTAATATAAAGGTTATACAGTTAATCAAGAATTAGAATCAGTGTTGTTGCCATTTGAAAGTACTGCTTCTTTCCTTTTACAGATAAGGTTCTCAAGTTGTTCATCTATGTCACTATTTACTATATATACTCTTCCTTGTCTTAGCAATGAAAGACTGACTGTGGGATATATAGTAGCCTATTTTGGGAAGATAAGGAGTAAAACTTAGTACGGAAATGCAGGCAGAATCTTAAACAAGACATTCCAGCAGTTGGACTGTTCATACATATATGCTTGATTTGCCTTGAGTATTCGGGTTTGTAAAGGTATGAGTTTACTGCTGCAAAAATAGCATGGTACTTAGAAAGCCTTAACCAGCAGGATTGCTGAAGAAAATAAATTACGCAAATCTAATAAATTTATTTATTTATTTTACTTATTAGGTACAAACCATTCCTATTATCTGTAAAAGTTGCAACTGGTTATTTCCACTTCTTAAAAACGCCAGCCATGCAAGAGCTATTTGTAATATAATGCAAGGTTTTTTTGTTACTGCAAACCAAAGGGCATCCAGAAATTCCATGCAGGAGGAAGATCTCTGACCAATTTTAGGATAAACCTTGTGAACCAACATCCCATTGTGTTGGTTAACAAGCTAAAGGTCAGAGATGCAGAACTTTTTGGCCTGGAGGGCCAGATCTTTATCTCCACCCCACGGGCCAGTTTTGTCAGGCAGATGGGACCACATACTGGTCAGTCATATTACAACATAATGATGCCAGGTGATTGACACCTGTCTAAACACAGTGCTCTTCATAGTACTTTCCAAGCATCCAACATCCAACTGATTGTTGGGCACTTCTGAAATGCTGCGTGAAGCACTTTGTAAGCCGTGCACTTGGCGACTGTCAGCCAGCCAGCAGGGCCTGCAAAGCCCATCCGTCATCATCCTATGACCTCACTTAATGTCCTTCAGGCGTATGTTAGGTGGGCATGGCTTACCTGAAATAGCCTTGTGGGCCAAATGGACAGCCCTGGCAGGCTAAGTTTTGCCCATGAGCCACAAGTGTTATAGATGGGTGGCGGTCAGTACCTTTTAGCCAATGATCTCTGTTGTTGACTTCCGTAGATAGTACATTCTCAACTGGTGCTTGAAAGTAGCTGCAGAAAGGAAAGGGGGGATGCTTCAGCAATGGGCAGTTTTCCTCTTGTAATTTGAAATATGTAAGAAACATTATTCAAAAGTAATAGCTGTATGCTTAAAAATGAAAGAGAGAAAAAAGTGCATCTATTCCTGCGGGGAAAATCTCTTCCACCCGCAGATTAATGCTTTTTAATAAAAACACTGGGATCTTTGAAGAAAATTCATGTCTGCAGAGCAGCTTTTTCTCCCTTGTTGGAAAGAGGTTAGTGATCAGGAATACTCAAGAGAGAGTTAATACAATTTTGCTTTGAGATAAGTGAACCAGGAAGGCTAGTTCAACTACTTTGGAAGCATGCACAATGAGCTTCTTAATGGACTCTGCTGTTGCAGTTTGTTTTTCCCCCTCCTTTCCTTTGATGCTGTTGCTAAGACATTTTAATCGTTGCCTTTCAGACGCAGTTGAAATCACCTCTCGGTCAGTTTCTAGTGCCTCCTCTGTAAGCACAACTTCGCTGGATACCTTGTACACTGGCTCGACAGAGTCGGCTCTCCCGACTGCTACTCCCAGCCCCAGCAACACCCCTCCCCCTGTTCCCAGCAGAAGTGCCCACACGATGGCATCGCACAGCTTGGATATTAGCCCGCCAGGGCAAAGAAAGCATGGGAGTGCAAGCAAATCACCCCAGACCAAGAGGGCTGCCCCACAAGTGCCCGTGCAAGCAGGGGCTTCAGGTGCAAATGACGAGAAGACCGTACAAGCCAAGGAGACTGTGCCAGTTGCTCCCGCGGAGGCAGAGGATTTTGACTCCCTTTGCCCGGAAGATAAAAAGCCAGCTGATCTAGAGGATGCAGATCATGAATCACCGAGCCTAGCAGTATCTGTGCCAAAGACAATAGGCGCCGAATTGATTGAACTCGTCCGCAGGAACACGAATCTCAGCTATGAGCTCTCCCGGGTTGCCATTGGGGTAGTAATTGGCCATATCCAAACTTCTGTTCCTGCCACTAATAGCATCATGGAGCAGATTCTCATCTCATTGGTGGAAAGCAAGGTAGGAAAATACATAGGTTGAAAAGCATTTTTTGTGGCTTGCTGGCTGATGAACTTTGTTTTTAGAAGGCATGGGGGTTTTTTTGGTGGGCAGGCAGTAGTAACATGAGTTGGGAGCTCAAGTACGTAGGTGACTGAGGCCGCGTATATCATATTCTGTCCAGCATAAGAGTGGACATATCCCCTTGAGGATATGTCGGCTCCTTTAGAGATGGTTGAACTTCAGACTAGCAGGATGTCCTTGATTTTTTTTTGTTCTAGAATCCCAAGATCCACCAATCACAGCCAGGTGCAAAATACATTGAATAAGAATTACCGTATTTTTTGCTCTATAAGACGCACCAGACCATAAGACGCACCTAGTTTTTGGAGGAGGAAAACAAGAAAAAAAATATTCCGAATCTCAGAAGCCAGAACAAGAGGGATCACTGCACAGCGAAAGCAGCGATCCCTCTTGCTGTTCTGGCTTCTGGGATAGCTGCGCAGCCTGCATTCGCTCCATAAGACGCATACGCATTTCCCCTTACTTTTTAGGAGGGAAAAAGTGAGTCTTATAGAGCAAAAAATCAGTAAATAATTTTGAGCCCAGAAATTTGATTCCAGAACCGGAGCTGAATTGAGGTCACAGTCCTTTCAGACAAGAATCCGCTCCTAACTACCCCTGCCCCCTGGTGTGTCAGAAGTATAATTTGTGGCTGGGAAGGGGGGTGTTGTTATTACTAAACAATTGGGAGTCAATAATCCTTGCCAATCTGCTTCAAATTACCCAGATCTACCAGTATATACTGCTTTCTGCCCATCCCTACTCTATGGTGTATTTGTCACCTCAGAAAGTAGCAGAATGCATGTTCAGTTACTGAGCTTTATTTATGAAGAGATGGTAGAATTACTAAACACTTCATATGCCAGAAGAGCAGCAGAATAAAAAGGGAATGGGATCATGCGGTCTTGTTGACATCCTTATTGGTAAATAATACACTGGCAACGTAGGGGTTAGGCATACAGAGAAAGAACTGCATAAATCTGGCCTGCCATAGGTTGGAACCCTAAATCAGAGATGATTTAGGCAGCAACTTAATGACCCTGGTTGGTATAGACTGAGTTAGTGTTATAAAAATAGCAGTTGTCTATAAAGGGAAAAAAATAATACAGAATCTGCAAAGAGGTGGGAGAACCATAAGCAACATTGGTTCATTGTGAGGTCCTGTTCAGATTATTTCATCCAAAACCACATCCCCCCCCCTAAATTAAGAGTTCTAGAGATAATGCTGTTACACTGCTTTGCGTTCATATGGCCCCAAAAGTCAAATCCTTTGGTCTCTGTCAACCTGGGGTACGATGTTTTCTTTTTCTTTTATTTATCTATAAACTAGTTTTGTTTCTATCCTGCTACATCTTTTGTATGGTCTGAGGTCACGGCCTTGCTGAAGCTAAGCAGGCCTGGATCTGGTCAGTGCCTGGATGGGTGTCCGCCTGGGAACCATGTGTAAAAATTAGTGTAAAATAATCAAGTAACATCCTAGCAACATTATCACAGGACAGAAACAGCATCAAGAGCATTGCCATAAAAAGTGTGTTTGGGGAGGGCTCTTGGTTTCCTGGCTCAGTGCGCTCAATGACATGGAAAGCCAGATCTCCCACAGCTATGAATTACATGATGTGAGCACTGATTATGAGAAGGTCTGATCCGTGTTCTCTACTCCTCACAGGTAGATGGATGCTTAACACAGATTCTGATGGGTGCAGCATGTAGGGCCAGGTTTATGCTTTGTTCACAGTTTCCAATTCCCTCTTTAACTCACCAAGTGGCATCTTCAAGCCACTTGAGCTATGCTGGAACTGCTCATTCCCCCAACGTTAAATTGCGCACTCTTGCCACTGACTCCATAGTCTGTCTGGGTAACTTGCTTTAAGTGGAAAAATATTAAATTCAGTTCCTTTCTGTTGTGTGGTAGTGGAGAAGGAAACTTCCTGCTCACCTCTAATAGGAAAGCTTTATTGATGCTGGCAAGATTACAAAAGGGTTTAGCGAGGCATACAGATATGGAAAACTGTTTTGCTCAAAATTCAGATCAAATCGTAATCCAGTTAGCTGTCCATAGTGAACACAATCGCTAGATGCAGCAGCGGAACTTCACATTTCTGGGATCATGTGACCCACTGGGTAATCAAGATAATTGCTTTTTAACTTGATAAAGATGGCGTATCAATACTCAGCCTCAATTCAGCAGAAACCTATAAGCAATTTCATGCTGCAGCCTTTTCTCCCCACAACCTGTCTCCAATTTGGCTTAGACTGTTGGTTTCTGTTCCTGTTCTATGGCTCAAAGGAAACAACTACAATACTTTGAGCTGACCGTATCCTGATAAAACATTAACAAAACCAATTTTTAATTGAAGACTGGAAATGTGTGGAGTCTGTGCACCAACTTCTCGTGTAAGGATAATTTTAAAGGGCTGTATCCAATGCTACTGCTACTCAGAGTTGCCCCATTGAAATTAATGGGCATGACTAGCTTAAGTCTCTTAATTTCAGTGGGTCAACTCTAAGTAGGACTAGCACTGGATCCAATCCCAAATGTGCAACCTCTCTTGTCACTTTTTCCCTACTCAGAAAAACAAGACCGTGGTTTTTCCCCCATTTGGCAGCGTATGGCAAAAAATTATCAATATTATTAATTCCATTTCTGTACCGCTTTATATTTTAAAGAAAATTTCCAAAAGTGTTTTAGAACACATTAAATAATCAAATGAAACAATCCAGAATAAAACATTACTGAAGAAAGTCAAATATAAAGTATACAGTCAAAGCAACAGGGCAGCCAAGAGTGTCTACGAACCCAGGTAATTTCCTTAATACTTTAGTGGGAGTGAAGAAACCACAAAAATCTTAAATACAGAGCTAAACCACAATCCTAGAAGTATCGTTCTGAGTTTGAGGGGTGGCATGTAACAGTATTACTTCATGATTCATCTCAAGGCCAACCCCATCCCAATTACCTTTCTTTTAGCTGACTATAACAACCTAATTGCATAGTGTTTGGGTGAACTAATTCAGCGCTTATTATAAAATAAAACCTACAAGCATGAAATTGTTGACAAGGGAAGCCATGTGTAAAAAAAATTATTCGGGGCCAGCAACAAATTTAAAAAACCAAATTAAAATTGCGATGATAAAATGTTGGGGCAAACAAAGCCTTAGAGCCCACATATTTTCACAATTGCTCTGAAGCACTTTCCCCACCTTTTAACAGTCCACTTTATTTCCCTCCCATCTCCCATCCACAGGGTTTCCACTGTGAACCAAGCCGTTAATGAACTTGAACGAGATTAATCTATTAGCAAAGCTCTCTAATCTGACTAACTTCTTGACATATCATGCGCCTCCTTAATGCGATTTCATCACTAACTCCATTTCTTTCACTCGCACTGCTAGGGTCAGATCTGCTCTTATTAAGTAGCTAGCAACGATTACTGCTGTATAGCCACCCCATACAGTTGTTTCCAGGAACCAGACTACGCCTTACGAAAGCAACAGCCAACTTAAATGATTTACACTACAGTATTTGTAAGATGTGCCTTAAGCTCATCTGTGTTTGTCATTCTGCATTTGGAGGGCAAAATTATACGCGGGAAACATCCAATCGCAATCTTTTCCGCTGAAGAGAACATGGTTATTTTGGGAAAGTTCCCTCTGCCGCTATCTCACCTCCACTGCTAACAGATGGAATGACAATTCTGCTGTGCAAACGTGGCTGCACTTCTGCAAAAGCTGCTCCGCTCCTTCCCCCCTAAGTCCTGGCTATCCATTCTAGAAAGCCAATGGCACTCTCAAAAAAATGTAGGCAATATTTTTAAGGGGGGAGGTTGTTTTGTTTTTTGAGTGGGTGTGCACAATCATCTCCCCCGAGCCCTAAATAAATAAATAAATAAAAAGGTATAGTATATTACTCCGTTGATGACTGTGTGATAAATCCCTGTACTAACCAATGCTTAATGCAAGAGATGGGGCTGCCATCTCAACAGCACACCCTAGGAGACTCCAGCCCAGATTAACAATGCCGAGTGAGACAGACACTTAATTCAATTTATTGAGCCTCTCTCTAGGGTAGAGCCTTTGGAAACTTAGTGTTTCATTTAGGAGCAAGCTCAGCTCCCTGAGCTGAGTGTGTAGTAATTACAGGGTGTTTCCTTCCTCCTTCTTCTGGAGTTATAATCCTCTTACAGAGAAGGCTATTTTACAGCGCAATGGAGGCAAGTGCTTACAGATGTTCAGGAGCACTGGACAGCAAGAGGAGTTTTTTTTGGCTTCTCCTATTGCAATAATTATGCTTCCCCCACTTTGCCTGTCAGGTATTCCCATCACCACCTGTAGGCCAGTCACTCAAGCACTCCTTCCACAGAGTTATTGGGCCGCAAGATATGCTTTGGTGACTGCAGTCAAGGGACTTAAGGCGCAGCCAGGTTTCCTGATCCCAGAAGGATCCCAATGTTTGTCTTGCAAAACTGGAAGCGCTGAACAGCACCGAACACCAAGCTTGGTTTCTTTTATTTATATGTAAACTCACATTTATTTCTATCCTTGTGTGTGAATCCCCACAAAGTCACTTCTGCTCCAAATGTAGTAACTTTCCCTGTACAACTAGTGATGGCTGTCAAATTCCGGTGCTTGTTTCAGCTCTGGATCTGGCTCTCCCATATTTATAGGAGGAGGCAATATCATGAAGCATTTTCAATGGAAGACCCCATAGTAATGCAAGGGGCATAGGCCCCAGCCAAGAAAAAGCAAATCCTGTAGCTGCTTATAGATCAGATCAAACTCCTACAAGAGGATGTTTGGAGCTATTTAGTCTAGGGAGAATTTTTTTAAAAAATGAGTAAGAGGGGACGCTATGGAAGTTCACAAAATTACACATGGTGCAGAGAAAGCACACTGGGTGATTTTCTCTCTCTCTCCTCCTGTCATAATAGCAGAACCCAAAAAGCCATCCAATGAAGCTAAACGGTGGGAGATTCAGAACAGACAAAAGAAAATACACAGTGCATCTTTGCGCAGTGCATAGTTAAACTATGGAATTTGAAGTCCAAAGACGGCCAACATTAAAAGAGGATTAGTCAAATTCCTGTAGGATGAGGCCTATAAAGACCATTATTCATTCGTGATGGCTATAGATTACATTGAGTGTCAGAAAATCAGTACCTCTGGGTACCAGTTCTTGGAGATTATGAGCAAGAGAGTGCTGCTTCCCTCACCCCCTGCTTGTAGGCTTCCTGCACAGACATTTGGTTGGCCACTGCGGAAGCAGAATGCTAAACTTGATAGGCCTCTGGTCTGATCCAGAAGGGCTGCTCTTTTGATCTTATGGATGAATGCATGTTTGCCACACTTGGATATCAAATAAAATGTACAGAGGGCGTGTGTGCAGGGGCACTGAAGTTACCACAGGAGCAGCTTACACAGTGTGCGAGTGGGCCTTCAGCAGCCTGTCATTATGAGGATGTATGTTCTCTTACATTGCCCAAATGGGCAATATGTTAAAAGGCAATTTAGAGAAATAAGTGGAAACCCAAAGCTCAAGGGAAAGCTAGCCTCTACTGACATTTTTAAAAGGAGTCTCTCCTACATCAAAGGAGGCCTGAATTACACCTTTGGCTAGATTCTCTCCCTTCCTGCCTTATTTAGGTATATGAGAGTACCTGAGAGGTACAAGTTCCTTCTTTTTGAAATTGCTTCCACTATAGAATAAGTGCAAGGACACCCTGGCAGCCTATGTGCAACATCAGAGGTATGAGTATATTTCTTTTCCCTTGATCCTTGTATTGCATGAACACAGCAGCAAGGCAGACCTGAATGAAAAATACCACAAGCAATTCATCCTTCAAAAGAGCACATTGGGAATAAGTCTGTGGTAATGGATTCTAAAATTGATTTAGTAAAGCAGTGCTTTGACTTTTAATTTAAAGTAGGAGGACAGAAGAAAGGATACAACTAATTAAAGAATGTAATATGAAGCCTGAAAAAAGGTTGAGAGATTTAGTATAGAGCAGCAGGAAGCTTTAATCAATGATGATCTCTTATTCCATTTGGGAGGAAAAAATTCTTAGAAAATCTTTCAGCTCCCTCCTCCAATTCTCACTTTCCCCAGAGAGAACATAGTTAAAGTTGTTTGAGAAAGAAGCACTTAACTTCATGCTGAAGCTAGCACTGCTGTCCATACACACTTCATGAGTTTGAGGAAAAACATGCTCACATTCTCAGAAACACTACTTATACTCAAAAAGCTTGCTTATACTCAAAAATTAGTCAAGCACCATTTTAGCTTGAGGCACCCTGATGGGCTGCACAGAGGTTCCTTGAAGGAAAGACCCTCAAGACAGGGAATTGCCCCCACCCCCAATAGCACAGGGACCATGCTGCCTTGAGTCAACCCCTTGGGGCTGGGAACAACGTCTCAGTGTTGCAAACCTGTGAGGCCACTGCCTCATCACTATGCCCAGTGCTCAAAACTCCCATTGTTCTAGGCACATTTTGTGACGGGCAATTTCATTAGCGCAAGCAGTTGCTGAGCTCAGGGCGCCGTACTGCGCCTAAGATTTCAGATTAAAACTGCAGAGTGGAAGGAAAGGAGGACCTTTTTCTGCCTGCCCACTTCCAGCTACTCTCTGAAGACTGGAGAAGAGACCCTCTTAAGAATATTAGGGGAGTGGGCAGGGGAAGGACTAGACCATGTGGAAAATGAACATAATATTTTGGCTGCAGTTCATTCATTTTCAACTTCATATTTTTGTTATACAGTGGTGCCTCGCAAGACGAAAAGAATCCTTTCCGCGATTCTCTTCGTGTAGCGGTTTTTTTGTCTTGCGAAGCAACCCTATTAGCGGCTTAGAAAAAGGGGGGGGAGCGAGAAAAAAAAGCAAGACTAGCAAGACGTTTCGTCTTGCGAAGCAAGCCCATAGGGAAAATCGTCTTGCGAAGCAACTCAGAAACGGAAAACCCTTTCGTCTAGCGGGTTTTCCGTCTTGCGAGGCATTCGTCTTGCGGGGCACCACTGTAAAAAAGTGCGCCTAGACATTCTGTTGTTGTGCCCGTAGCTTAGGTTTTTGTTGTTGTTGTTTAGTTGTTTAGTCGTGTCCGACTCTTCGTGACCCCATGGACCAGAGCACGCCAGGCACTTCTGTCTTCCACTGCCTCCCACAGTTTGGTCAGACTCATGTTTGTAGCTTCGAGAACAGCTTCGAGCTTAGCTCCTAGCTTTCATATCTCAGTTTCTAACACTACGCTGCTCCCACACTGCTGTTGACTAGTCTAAAGGTCATCTTATATGGCACATTAGTTAAGCCCTGTCTTGCTGATTACAGAACAAAGTTAATTATTGCACTAAGCAAATAACTGACTTGGATCTTGAATCATTATAGTTCCATGATAAGTTACATCAACCCAACTTTCAATCCATATACACCCAGGGCACACATAGTGGCTCTTCGGGAAGAAGGACTGGATATAAATTTAATAAATGCACAAGTAACATAGTGGAACTGCAATTATGGCAGCCCAGCATGGATAGAGGGGAAACAGTTTTGAATGTGCAGCTGCCCAAATACACTGACCTTTGACTTCTTTATCATCATGGAGAGTCTGATCATGATCCCTCAAAATGACAGTGTAAAACTAGGGCCTAACTTGTCTTCCAGCGACACAGCTTATTTGTGCACCTTTGCTCGCAAACACCTTTTGTTTACACTCTAGCAATGAAACACTTTAGTTCTGCACTCTTCAGACTACCAACTCTTAAATAGTCAGCCAGCTACAAATTTAGTTTATTTCTTACCCAACTGGCAATATTTCACTTCCATGCTCTCCTCTATCCATACTTCTGGATTAAACGTTTGCTGTTTGGGAACTTGTGTTGGGAACTTGTCTGATCACATTATGGTTCTGCATGTACCTTAGCATCATACAATGCTTCTCCTCTGGTTAGGGTCATATTATGGTCTGAATTGATCTGTTTGTGGAAAATCCTGTCTCAGACCATAGGGCTGGATAAAGACCTCCATCACTATAAGCCTATGTGAAGATAAAAGCATAAAGTTTTATCTTGGTCCTGAACAAATGTTGCATGAACCATCTATAAGGCTCAGTCAGTGTGGATGCACAGAACAAGGACTTATTTATTGTGGCATCCCTTGTTTGGGGACACCCCTCCAGGAAAAGCCTGGTTTTTGTTTCACCAAGCTTTTGTGGTTTTCAGAGCCTAGTATCTTTTGTCCTTATTCCACTCTCCCACCCTCATCCCAAATATAAGGCCTCGGGTTCAATCTCTGACATTTCAAGGAACTGCTGGGCATTCCTCCCATCTGAAACTGCTGAACTACGGCCAGCCACTGTAGTAGGGTCAGCATGCAGCAAAGTGAACTAATGGTCTGACAGTATAAGGTGGCTTCCAATTTCCTTCCTTGCAAATTGCTTAGATACTGAGAGATGACATTTCAAGGTGCTGATGGCAAATTCTAGGGCATGTTTTGCATGGAAATCAGGCCTCTAGAGAAATCATCTTGCTCAGTTCCAACCATGTGTTATCCTTTCTACATGAATTACTTTTCAAAGATCCCCCCCATCCACACTGCAAGTTAGCCAGCTAAGGAACTCTTGGCTGCATCTAAGCAACTGCCCCTGTATGGTTTTTGTTGTTGTAGGTGGTGGGGAGGCACCCAAAAAAAACATTAGCATGATCCTTTACCTATTCCCAATATAGTACCAGTAGCGCTCCGTCTAAGGAAGGGAGAGAAAGGGTTGGAGAAATCTGATAGAGTTAACGGTGCTTCTGTTCTCACAGTGTTGATTTAAAATGAGGTTGAATGAACAGTGTGATGGGAGATGGAGATTCTTACCATCTTAACTCTAAAATGATGCAAGGCTCTTTTAGTTGGGTTCCTAGGGCTATGATTTTCATCACATTTTGCAAGCACATAGGGTCACTTTCATGCCTTGTGAGAAAACAAAAGTTGCACAAATATGGAGAAATGGATTTCTAATCTTCAAGAGAATCACAGTTGCTTTATACACCTCCTTTGCCAATGTGAATTCATTTGTTTAATCAGGTTAATGGCATAGTTGGCAGGTGCAAAAACCCAACAGTTGTAAGATTCCCAAACTGCCTCCTTCCTTACAGATATGATTGTGCCCAATGAGCTGTATTGTGTTGACACTTCTGCTCCCCAGGTTATACACATCTTTGAGGAATATCATTTTCTGTGTACCAGCTGAATTAACTAATTGTTCAAGCTGTTTGCCATCCGTTTCCCAGGACACTGAGCAGAACAGACATTTCAGTTTTCAGAGTACTAATTCATGCTTATGACTGAGGGTATTCTCATAAGTGATACTAACCCCATTCAACCTCTTGTGGCTAGTTCAAATAAAATCTTTATTATTATGGCCAATGACCATTAAGAAACAAAGGGTAAGAAACAAATAGAAGACATTGTCCTGATGTGGAATAAAATAAAGTAAAATAAGTCACTTGTGGCATTTTTGGATGCCTGTACATGATTTGCAAATGGCAGTTCATTGAAGGCCTTCACTTGGAAGGTGCACTTACCTTAGCCATTTAAATCTCAGTTGAAAATTAAATTATAGTTGAAAACAAGTGCTTTTCCAGTAAGTGCGTCCTGTTAAAGCGATGTGTATTATTTTTGTTGCAGGATCTTTGTTCAGGACTGCCTTCTGGTCAGATCTGCCATGACGAACAGAGGCTAAAGGTTATATTTGCAGATCTGGCCCGCCATAAAGATGATGCCCAGCAACGCAGCTGGGCCCTCTATGAAGATGAAAACGTCATTTGCTGTTACTTGGAGGAACTTCTTCGTATTCTGGTAATTTCCTGCTCTGGCTTTTGCATGGCTTGAGTCTTTGTTACTTTCTCAGACTTCTGTTCAGCAGAAATGTAAAATTTGATTTATGTATTATTTATTGAATTTATACCCCCACGTATCCTCCCAGAGGAGCCCCGAGTAGCAATCAAGACAGGGTAACTTAGAGCTTTCCAAACTTTTCATGTTGGTGACACACTTTTTAGACATGCATCATTTTGCGACACAGTAATTCAGTTTTACCCATTAAACTAACCCTTTTCCAGCCCCGGGAGGAGCGCAGGGAAGCGTTTGCTCAACGCAACTACACACTGCAGCCAACACACTAACATGTTGCGACACAGTTTGGAAAGCTCTGGTGTAACTTTTTAGCTGGGGTGGGAGATGAAAAAAAAGAATGATACAGATGCATTTCTGTTATGTATGTGGCATGATAACCTTGTCTTGATCCATATCTCTCTCGAGAGGCCAGCATGTGTACGAACATGAATGTGAACTGAAATGTGAAATTGCCTAATGTTGCTTGTTTTTAGCGTGAACTTCAATAGCGTTTCTAAAGTAAGGAGTCTGCAGGTGGGAATTTACATTAAAAGGCCAACTCTTTCAGAAGAAGCATCTATTAGCAAGCGGAAAAGAAATCCAAAACAACTTATACCTCTCATATTTGGTGCATTTTAGTGAATGTTCATTATTTAAGGATGTGATTGGCTCAAGGTCCTTTTCCTCTTCCAGGCCTGAAATTAAATTGTAAATTGGGGGTTGGGGGCGGAAACCCTTATAGGCTATTTTGTCTTCCAGAATGAGAGAGATATTACTTTATAGGTAGTGGCATGCTCTTGTTGGGCCTTTCAGCAGCTTGCATAGCTCTCTGGAATTATATATGGGTGTTTTTTTGTTTGGACCATACATTCCCTAGACTGTTTTTGTTTCAGGACAGAGACTTGTTTTGGTACTGAATGTAACTTTAGTTTGCATTATGTTAGTTTATGTTTCGGGAATGGAAAGATTGCGGTTTGGGACAGATCTGCAGGTTCATCTTGCATGGCTATTGTCAGAAACAATCCATTCTTGGGTCACTGGGAAACTGATTTTTTCCATCCATATTTCCAGACCGATGCGGATCCTGAAGTCTGCAAGAAGATGTGCAGGAAGAATGACTTCGAATCGGTTATGTCCCTTGTTACATATTATCAGATGGTATGAGGCTGCAGTCAATATTTTTTGTTTCCAGAGAATGGTAGAGGATGTTTTATCCCATGCTGATGGCCTTTCAGCTGATTCCCTGGTGGCCCAGATGGGTGGGGTATAAATAAATTATTATTATTATTATTATTATTATTATTATTATTATTATTATCATCATCATTATCATCATCATCATCACAGCTGCATGTAGGGGGCACACTGTTTTTATGTAATCCTTGTTCACAAATCAAAACTGATGGAGAGTTTTTGGGGACAGGAGTAAGTGAAAATGTGAACACAAGTTTACAACAGTGTTGTCAAGAACCTTAACCTCCTCCTGGCGTTCTCGGTTCCAGGAATATTTTAATTGGTTTATCTAGCCTGTGAATAGTGAACCTTTAGCCATCCAGATGCTATCTAATTGGTTTGTCTAGCCTGTGAATAGTGAACCTTTAGCCATCCAGATGCTGTTGGAGTCCAACTCCCATCTGGCCAATGGTTAGAGATAATGGATGTTGTAGTCTGGCAACATCTGGTGGGGGGCACAGTTTCCCCATGCATGGGCTTGCTAGTTAAATCAGGCAACTATGAAGGCCGTAGTATTCCACACTACGATCAAGTAGCCAAACAGTAAGAGCAAAGGAAGAATATGAGCATGCTGAGTGTGAGCTTAACACTGTAAATCTAGAGAGCGTAAGCTGTAAATGAACCCATAACAAAGGACTGCTTATTTCCAAAGTTTATTTGTGGCATCAGGAAAAGTGTGCCTGAAAACAAGCCTTATATCTGGGTCATGGACACATCTCTGCTATCAGCTTGGAAGATAAATCTAGCTGCCCCTTATAAAAACACACAAAAGCACTCCACTCAGGAACAGAGGTAGCAGCTTTGCTGTCATCGAGAGGAAGGATTTCTGAGAATGCCTTGGGAACATTGGCAGGCTGTTCCTGCTCTTCTCTTAATTGATGCACATCTGTGCATTCATAAACAGCTTTGGGTAGGAAATTAGGTTATGAAGATACTTCTCTGGGACAAAGGAAGGAAATCAAGTATGCAGAGAAACATGTAGGTGTTTCTCTTTAGTGCCTACAAGAATGTTTCTTTGCTCCATCCCTTTCCGAGGGCTCGCTGTTACAGCCATCTGCCCTAGATAATCCACTCTCCTATGCTTGTCATAATTAATTCATTTTATTTTAAACATGTTTTTATTTTAAAAATCCAGTGCATAGAAAGTAGGGGGAGGTCTGTAGTTTCCTGCTGGAGCATCTTCTTTGCATGCAGAAGGTTCCTGGTTCAATGCCCAGCGTCTCCAGGTAGGGCTGGGAGATGGAGATATTCCTGTCTAAAACCCCAGACAGCCACTACCAGTCATTGTAGTTGCATCTGAACTAGATTGACCAACGGTATGACTTGGTACGAAGCGTGTTCCTGTGTAATAATAATAATAATAATAATTTATTATTTGTACACCGCCCATCTGGCTGGGTTTCCCCAGCCACTCTGGGCAGCTTCCACAGAAACCAAAAATACACTAAAATATCACACATTAAAAACTTCCCTGAACAGGGCTGCCTTAAGATGTCTTCTGAATGTCAGGTAGTTGTTTATCGCTTTGACATCTGATGGGAGGGCGTTCCACAGGGCGGGCGCCACTACCGAGAAGGCCCTCTGCCTGGTTCCCTGTAGCTTTGCAGAACGATGGGGGTGGAGACGCTCCTTCAGGTATACTGGGCTGAGGCCATTTAGGGCTTTAAAGGTCAACACCAGCACTTTGAATTGTGCTTGGAAACGTACTGGGAGCCAATGTAGGTCTTTCAAGACCAGTGTTATGTGGTCTCGGCGGCCGCCCCCAGTCACCAGTCTAGCTGCCGCATTCTGGATTAGTTGTAGTTTCCAGATCACCTTCAAAGGTAGCCCCACGTAGAGCGCATTGCAGTAGTCTAAGCAGGAGATAACTAGAGCATGCACCACTCTGGCGAGACAGTCCGCGGGCAAGTAGGGTCTCAGCCTGCGTACCAGGTGGGGTTGGTAGACAGCTGCCCAGGATACAGAATTGACCTGCGCCTCCATGGACAGCTGTGAGTCCAAAATGACTCCCAGGCTGCACACCTGGTCCTTCAGGGGCACAGTTACCCCATTCAGGACCAGGGAGTCCTCCACACCAGCCCATCCCCCAAAAACAGTACTTCTGTCTTATCAGGATTCAACCTCAATCCATTAGCCGCCATCCATCCTCCAGCCGCCTCCAGGCACTCACACAGGACCTTCTCCGCCTTCACTGGTTCTGATTTGAAAGAGAGGTAGAGCTGGGTATCATCTGCATATGTGGTGAGAGTTGCCATTGTGACAGATAGTCAACTTGTATGGATCAGAAATTACTTTTACAAGTGTAATGTTTCCTTTCTGTGATGAAATATCTGAAAGGATCTTCACACACAAAAAGAAATTATAGAGGAGTTAGAGTTATTTATTAGTGGATAATTCATCTGTTCCCAGTTGTATCAATTAGGAGACTCTCTCTTGAGGAGTAAGCTTACTTTCCTCTAATCCCAAACAATGCTTGGATTGCACTCTATCACAAAACTTGTGTGATGCTACAAATTGACGCAGAAGGCAAATTGGAAGGTGGTAATAAATGGGTCTGCCTCAAGTAGGAAGAGGTTATCTGGCACTGTCTTTTAGTGTTTACAGCTGGTTTCGACAAACCAAGAAGTCTAGGTTAACTGTCATTTCTCTGTACTTCAAGTCCAGGAAACTGTGGTTAATAACTCCCAAACAAGCTGTAGCTTCATTTCTGGCTTGTCACTAACCTTGGTTTCCTGGTTTATTGATTATCATATTCATAAAGAACTAGGCAAGAAACACTAATGGTGAAATCCAGTTCACCACCATTTTCCATACCCTGAAAGGCCAGCTTCCATGTGAGCTCACTAACTTGAAACTGTTCCAGTGAAGATAAATGTACTCGCTTTGCTGAGCTCAGTAATTAAACTAAATACTTAACCTTGGTAAGTACAGATAACAAACAGGAAGAATTTTCCTGGCATTTTGTCATTTAAAATTTGTCGTTTATAACTTTTTAGGAGCACAGAGTGCCATTACGGCTACTGCTTCTGAAGTGTTTTGGAGCAATGTGCAACTTGGATGCTGCTATTATCTCTGCTCTGGTGAATTCGGTCCTGCCAATGGAGCTAGCTCGAGACATGCAGACTCATACCCAAGGTAAGGCAAGCTTATAAAATGGCTCTTGCTACATCTCTGCTGCTTGTCATGGAGATCTTGAGGTGGTATTACTACTACTACTACTACTACTACTACTACTACTACTACCTACCCACCCATCTGATCTGACTGGGTTGCCCCAGCCACTCTGGGCAGCTTGTGAGGTATTGTGGGGTTATGAAGATTGGGCATCCAAAATAATTGTTACAAGTATTTGGACAGCAATCTAATCCACCATTGCAAGAGTCTCTGAGATGGGTGTTAGTAGGAAATTAAGACTGATGGGCACAGTGGAGTTATGCCACCAAGTTGAAGCAGATAAGGGCTGAGGCTGGACTATAAACAGGAAGCGAAGAGTGTGAGGGAAAGTAGATTGGAAAGTACATTCTCTTACCCGTATCCTTGATCAATTGCCTGGCATTTCTTCCATGCTTCTACATCCTAGAAATCCTGTTGCAAGCTGAGGAAGCAGCTCACAATAGCCAAAGAGAGAGTGCTTGAGTTTTAGTTTGGGTTTTGCAAGCATCTCCCGGGTAGCTGAGCGAGTAGTAAGGTGCTGGTCTATGTGTTTTGAGTTTACTGGCCTCCTTCTAAATGATCATTCAAGTAGCTTCTGTTTCCATTTCCCCAGCTAAACCTTCAAATCTTGCTTATTCTGAATTGTCATGAATTTGGGCCCCTGGGATTGTAGCTGAATGTTCCGTTTTGAGTATTTGGCTTCACTAGCATTTCATTTAAGTGACTGCATGTCTCCCAGGTAAATTTTCAAGTGGCTCAGAAGATGTCTTGGGTGAGTTTGGGGACCATTGATAAAGGTTTTTGGGGGGAACGATACCTTGACCGTTCTATGATGGAAAGTGTATGTAAATCTTGGGGAAGGGTGGCCTTGTGTATTTCTGATTTAGAAATGAGGGAAGAGCAATAGCATGGATATAGCTGGGGGGGTGAACTTGCCTGGTTCAGGCAGTTTAAAAAAGGACGGTAGATCTTGATCTCATGGGTGACCTCGTGTGAAGCCATGTCTTTGAAAGCAAAGTTTTGCAGAAGAAAAAGATTGGAAGTGCTTTCATTAGACAGAGAACATTTTTTATTAACTAGGTTTAGCAGAGCCAGCTACTTCTGCTCTTCGATATGTATAAAATATGCAGCAGGCTGAATAAATTAATTCTGCAGTTTGTTTATTGCTGCCAAGTGCCGATTTAAATCTCTTGGCTTTCTATCTGTTCCATGGCTTTGATGGGCAATGCATACATATCTCGGAGAAAGAAGCCCATGGTGTCTTTCTAGTGGGCTGTATCTTGTTTCCTTTTACCTTTTTATACTCAGCTGCTGAACATGGAATAGTTAAAAAAAAGAGTTGCTGTCTTTGACTTCGCGGTGTTGTCACCTGTTGCCATCTAGTACACTGGCAAAAGTGTGGGAGTTTTATTGGGATTCAATGGGCTATTTGATTTTTTAAAAAATCAGTTAAGTATTGCTTAAAAATTATCTGGCTTAGTATCACTCTCTCTCTCTCTCTCTCTCTCTCTCTCTCTCACACACACACACACACACACACACACACACACACGTGCTGCAACAGACTGCCACCATGGGAACTAGTTTAATTAGAACTCTGAAACTAATGCAAGCGCACATGATAAAGTCTAGACCCTTAATCTTTTAAAACTGAATCCATAATCCACTATCAAACGTGGCATTAACAGCCTGCTTTTCTATACAAACGAATAACCCTTTGAAAGTAAGCATTATAAATGATGATTATATGACTACCCATATTTGCATCCCATCCTTTGACTGTGCTCAGGATAGTGAGCTACCTGTACAGGTGAACTAGCTCACTTTATCCTCATAGCCTACTAGTGAGAGGTTAGACAGAAGGTGTTAGCTGTGTAAGCTTAACTCTGATCTTCCCACTCCAAGTTCAGCGCTAACCTTTGCCCCCCACTGCCTCCTGCGATACAATCCTATTCAGGTCTGCTCAGTAGTAAGCTCCTCTGAGTTCAATGAGACTTCCTCTCATCCAGGTGAGCATAGGATTGCAGCCTTACCAGCTCTGGGTGGGATTCAGCTGCACAGCATACATCCACACAAGCATTTCAGCTTGCCATATGGAACAACCCACCCCTTTCCTCTGTGTAGCTATATACAGTGGAACCTCGGTTGTCGAACGTAATCCATTCCAGAAGGCCGTTCGACTTCCAAAACTTTTGACAACCGAGGTGCAATGGGCGGGCGGAAGATTCCATTGAGAAATGCGTCTCGGAAGCCGTTCGCCTTCCAAGGCACGTTCGAAAACGGAAGCAATTACTTCCGGGTTTTCAGCATTTGAAAACCAAAACGTTTGGCTTCCGAGATACTCAAAAACCGAGGTTCCACTGTATCTAAAACAAGGTTTGCTGTCAGACATCCCAAGGCTTCTGATAAAGGATTTGGAAGCTTAATGGCTTTAATCTAGAGTTACAGGTTAGAGGGAAGAACCGGACATTTACCAAACGGGTGCAACATAGCTGTGGTAATGAAAAACTGTGTTCCGTCTGTCTAGGGTGCAAACAGATCTGTTTGCTAAGTCCAAACAGAGGCTCACTACATGGTTTCTTTGAAGAACAAAACTTTGAAGAGAATCCATTGGCCATCTTTAAGAAAACCACAGTTGTGTTTTGTTTCATTTGTCGCATTCAAAAACCATTTGAGGGGCACACTCGGGTGCTAAGCATAGGGTTGATATGTACCAGTAAGGCGGCCTTTCCTCAGTGCAAGCAGCAAACAAGAGAGAGGGGATTAATTAAAGCCAGCAGAAGCACAAGGTAGGCTAGAGAACATGAATGCCCTGCGCTTGATCGGATGCAACTCTAAGCCTTGCTGAGCTGCAATGGGATGAGAGGGAATGCCAGGCTGCCGTTATCTGCATACAGATAGCCAAGATTGTTCTGCCCTGAAGGTATAAAAAATCCGACAGTCACACTTAACACAAACAAAATGGGAAAACTACAGAGCAGAACTAGCATGGGGAGCAGGCGGGCGATGTGTGCTCTTGAGTGGGTGGGATGGTGATCTGGGAGATGGCAACTGGCTTCTCACGCAACGACCCAGCTATGCTCTGTGATACATTCATTCATTCCCTGTGTTGCTGCAATGCAAATATGATCCGTGCCTGCACTTTATACTTGTTATGCTTATAGATGTCTGAGCTTTCTCTTTATCACAGCAGTTTATTGATTGTCCACAGTGTCTGAAGTTGTTAGCATTTTTTATCTTGGCATGCAAAAGTCTCTGTAAAGGGTGTTTATTTCTGCTGGTTAAGATGGCAGTACTTGAAGCTGTAGTTCTCATTGTTCACTCTAGCGGGAAGCTTGCCTGGATTTCAAGATTAGTCCTAGCTTGCTGGCATCTAAAAAAAAACTTTCGGCTCCATACATCACTAATTTATAAGTTCGTCTACAGGCAGATGTTTTTATTCTATACTCCGTATTTCTCACAAATGGATTCCTTTTTTCATCTACTGCTTGGATAATTCAGAGTTCAGATGCCCTTTTAGACCTCTAACTTGTCTTTGCTGGGGGCGCTGAAAAAGAAGGTCTTTTTTGTCTCCCGTTTCTTCCTCCCTCCTACAAGTCCATCCTGCCAGAGCTGTGTGGTAGCACCTGCACAACCTAGCCAGCCATTTTAGCTGTCACCAAATGTGCAGACCATGTTCTCCTGGTAGCTGCCCTGGGCTGTTCCTTTGTGATCTCCCTACAGATAGTACCTTCCAATCTTGTAGAGTCAGCCTTTGGCTTTGCAGCCAGTAGTTGCTTGTTTTTCAATTCTGCGTGCTTCAAATACAATACAAATAAGCTGCTAGGGGAAGAGACCATAAGGCTAGATTATAAATATTACATATGCTTTCGTTTGACTGAAGCATCTGCTTCTGGAAAGGTATTCTGCCCCATGCCCTCCTGTCACGTTTATTTTCAGCTTACCATTTTCTATCCCCACACAGCACATCTGAGGAGCATTCATCTTGCGCACACACTATTGCTCATGTGTTAGCAATGGCAGACCTTGACAGGTATGTGATTTTGACAGCCAAAACTATCCAGCGCTTTCCCTTCATGTCAGTTACCAGTTCATTTGAAATAACACTTCACAATGACACAGGACTGATCACCGAGACAATGAAAAAGTGGCAAGGGGCAGTGAATACTTTGCCACCGGTCCATGTCAGCCATTTCTTTCTTTCCAGGGGCCATTTTGTGCAACAGTGCTTAGATGATTTCTTTTTCTTTTTTTGCTGTTGCTGTCACAAAACTGTAAACAGATTCTCTCATGAAAAATGACCTTGAGTGCTGGAGTGATAGAGGCTTACTTTGTTGCTTGGAACTTGGGAATCGAGGCTGATCTGTCTTCTGATAGACTGCAGAGCATCTAATCCCTTTTGCGGATGGCAAAGAGCAGAGCAACCCATGCCAACTCTCAGGCGGCTGGGGATTGTTGTCAAGCCAGAAGCAAGCGTTCCATTGGATCCTGCCTGGTGCTTAAAGAGGAATACTGGAGGCTAAAGCTCTCTGCATGGATTCTGGATGCTTTTGATGAAATAATGCTTTCCCCTTGTGCTGATGCAAGCACCTTGGCTGCTGTCCAATTTTTCTGCTAGATGCTTCTTGCCCCTGGACAGCCACTTTCCTGTGGTGCTTCTAGTCTGCAAATCTTTTCCACATGGCATTTTTTGAGGGAAGCTTATTATAAGACGCAGCAAGGCAGTATTAACTAGAACAATTCTGTTTATAATCCACTCCTGTAATCAACTGTCCCTTGTGATTGCTACATAGAGACACAACACTGCTGTCAGTTCTACATTTTTCTTCTGCTCTCTCCTTTTTTATGAGCTTCACTTTTTGAGCCCTTCCAAAGTCCTAATCTTGCTTTGTTGCATTTGTGGTCCAGAGGATTGGCTTTGTGGTTAAGTTCAGAAAACATTCAAGCTGACTCAAAACTCTGGGTAATGCGGTTTTCATTTCCTCTGCCCTTCATAAACTGGCCTCAGCTTTGTGTGTAGTGTCAGTCATCAGAGGTACCCCCTGGTGAATTGCAGTACTGTGTCTTCAAAGTGAATTGGGTTGAATCGTGGTTTTTTAGTCTTCGTAGAGCTACTGGTAACCTTTTCCCCTCCTCCTTTAATATGCCCAGGATGGAAAAGTGACTGGTCACATTTGCTAAGGATGCACCATTTTGCCATGGCTTAAGAGAAATGAACTAGGTGCTCAGAACAAATCTTAAGGTTTTGTATCAATGAGTTTAGCATGCACTGAATAATTGAATTAGCTTACATATTGCATTCGGTTTCTAGCATTCCAGATATATTTCTTACAAAGCTTTAATTGCGTTAGCTCTTTTCATTCCACTGCGAGTAACTGCTACCGGGTACAGTACCAGAGAAGATGGTAGCAGGGGCCAGTGGCAGCTTGTACGTTGCCACTTGTCACTTGCCACTGCTGCCCAGTGCAAAACCTGCTGCAGTGATGGCTTGATATCTTTAGAAGGCACATCAGCCCCAAATAGTTCCTTGCCTAGAATCCCCATACACTGGTGGGCGTGCTATTTGAATAGCAGAGACCCTATACAGCAGAACATGTTTCATTGTTCTGCTCTTTCCTTGTTTTAGTTTTAGGGTCTTTTGAGTTGTTGACATGTTGTCAAATCATGTATCGTTTCCCCCGTTTCTTTATCCTTTCTCTTGGCTAACCGGGGCTTCTGCTCCTTGACTCCTTTCCCAGGCAGCCAAAGGCCTTCTCCCAGGCAGCTGCACCCATAAACAAAGCTGATGGTTTCCCCTAGGATGGCACATTTGCTGGTAAAATAACAGAGCGAGGTACATATGAAACATTGGCGCTCCCTAACCTGTTCTGGAGCTTCAGGGGAACCTGTGTCCAACCCTGCCACAAATTCTTATGTTCATCTGCCTGACTGGCGGTCACATCCAGCAGAGGGGGATGGTTGTGCCAGATGAAAGTTGGGACCCACCTGGGAAACAAAACATGCTGAGAGAGAAATGGACAGATCCACACTTTCGAAGTCCAAGTACTGTCCTGCTAATCGTCACATAGAGTACATAACCCAAGTATTGGCCTATACAGAAATGAGCCAACTTTTAAGGGTTATTCATCGCTGCACATAATAACTAGGCTGTGTAAACCTCTCCATGCTTTAATGATCTCTTGTAAACAGTGCAGTGCATATTTCATTGTGGCCATATGCCCTATCATGTGGCGTTTCTTATTTAAACCCCTACTGGAACATGCCAACTAATTAAGATTCAGGAAAGGCAGTGGCTGTGGTTCTGTGGAGCGCTCATGTATAGATGCTGCCAGTGAAAATTGTGCTATACTAGCAGGCTGCAGGACAGGTTGATGCATGAGGTACAAATGTGCACTGGAAAGGAAGCGAAAACGCACACCTGGAATAGTCTGAATCTCAGGTGACTTGTAGCCAAACTATTGCTGATTTATGGGAAAGAAATGTGTTCTACAGGAACGGCTGTAAAAAAACCACACCAAACCAAATTACAATATATGTGAGATCTTGAAATACTATTTGTGGTAGGGGAAGCTGTTTAACCCAGTTTTATTATATTTTTTAAATTGTCCTGCTTTTCTTTCACTTAGGAGCTCAGCACAATTAACAGCAAAGCAAACAAACTAATCCATATACAAAGGGCAGAATTTAATGTGTGAGCAAATTTCCAATCGTGCCCAGAACCTCCCCTTTCCCTCTTCCCCCTTTCAGCCCCTCCCCCACTATCCCAAAATCTGTTCCAGAGGCTCCCCATACCTTTTGGAGAAGACTCTGTGGTCCATGGAAGGCTCTGGGAAGTGGGGTGGGGAGAAGAGCGGTGAAATTCCTCTGGGCAAGCAGAAGTCTGTTCTTCTCCAGCACAGCATTTGATAGTGTGCCATACCCCCTGTTTTATTAAAAAGCAAATCAGAATTTAATACTACAATAATACAATTAGCAGTCAGAGAAATAGGAGAAGAGGTCCTGTCCCGATGTGCATCAGTAGCGAGTTAAGACCAGGAATTTTTATTAAATCCATTTTTCTTTAAATGTGTGCTCTAATGCCTTAACCAACCTTGTTTTTCCTTTGAAAAGCAAGTTTATCCTCCACAGTGAACTTCATTTGTGTAAAATTTACTTCCGGTTTGGTCTAGTCAATTTCACCAATCTGAAATGTATTGGGCAAGAGGTGATTGGAATTAGGAAATATGAAAGCAGGGACTGAATAGACTCTTTCCTGTACTGCCAATTATGTTTGTGCTATTAGAGCCAATGGATGGAGGCACCCTTTGCAGTAAGGAGTAAGTCACTACCATTTTGCTCAACAGCAGGGGTGGCTAATCTGTGACTCTCAGGTGTTGATGAGCTACAACTCACATCGTCCTTTACCATTGGGGCTGGTGGGACTTGGAGTCCAACAACATCTGAAGGGCCACAGATTTCCCATCCTTGCCCTGCAGAAATCAAACTCTGTTGCCTTAACCAGACAGCATGGATATCTGAAAGTTCAGTTAGAATTAACATAGAACAAGGATTGTAGAAAAAAGAAAAATCCAGCAGACGTGGAGCTTGGCCCTTGCCTTTTGCAGTGACATGCTGGTCTTTGGACCACAGATGAGGAACCTGTGGACCTCCAGATCTTGTTCAACTCCAAGTCCCATCAGCTTTAGCCAGCATGGTCGGGGATGGTGAGAATTATATAGCAACATCGGGCAGTGGGCAAATTCCCTATATTTAAACTTAACAGTTCTGCATGTAGCTCTTGCATACTCCACTTCAAGACTCAAGACTTTGTTGACGGTATCAAATATCGAGAGAAATGTACCGTATTGCCCCAAATATAAGTCACCCCCCCCCCAATTCAACTGTGTAAAGTTAAAATGTGGCTTAAATTTGCGACCTTACAAAAATTGGCTGTTATGGTATCATTGCTGAAACACATACGGTAAAATGGCATGGGTGTGAGTGCCCACGGAATTTTAAGGGAGCGACTTGTATTTGGGTATTGTTTTTTTCTTCTCCCCCCCCCTTGAATTTTAAAGGTGCGGTTTATATGCAGTTGCGGCTTATATTCGGGCCAATACGGTATCTGTTTAAGAGCTGACACCATGCCGGAAATGTAACGCATATCTTCTGATCTGCTGCATTCATTGTATAATCTCTTCTTCCATCTTGACTTTTTTCAATGTGGCAGAAATTTTGCCTTAGGGGAGAAAGAGAGCAGACCTCCAAGCAAGCCAGCTGCCTTCCTTCAATGGCATGTGCCCTGGCGCAGGTGTAACTAAACTCGTGGCTTTCTTTTCCAGACCATCAGAAGATGTGCTACTCCGCTTTGGTGCTGGCTATGATATTCTGTATGGGAGAACCGCTGCCATATCATCACTATGGTGAGAAAAACCTCCACCGCAGGGGGCGGGTGGCAAGCTGCCACTGAGCAGAGGATTTCTGCAGTTTTTTTAACCTATAATTAAAGAGAGACAGCTTGATCCGAGATTGCTCTCCACAGTCTGGGAAACAGCTCACCAAAACGCTTACAGGGAATATGAGAACTGGATGGAGCCCAGATGAGTGAAAACTTGCTTTGTCTTCCCTTCAGAACTGTGTGTTGAATTCAGCTTCCCTGAGATCAGTCAGGACATTTGTTGGAAGGCGGCCATATCTTTCTTATTAGCTGATAAATGGCCCTAAGCCTTCAACTCCGTCCTTCCACAGTCTGTGTCTGTCTATTTCATTTATACCCCAAGGAGCTCAAAGTAGCATACATAGTTCTCCTCCTCATTTTATCCTCACAACAACCCTGTGCACTAGGTTATGATGAGAGCAGGAGAGACTGGCCCAAGGTCACCCAGTGAGTTTCATGGCTGAGTGGAAATTTGAACGCTGGTCTTCCAGATCCTAGCCAGGCACTCTGACCACGACACCACACTGGCTCTCAGTAAACCACCCTTGCAAGGCAAACAGCAGCTTGGGAGGAGCAACTTTTCAAGGGAAAATATGCAAGAGGAAAGGGGTGAAATCTCCGTCTCCCAGCACCATAGCTACCAAACCTAGTCCCTCTCTCCAAGAGCTGTGTTTAACCAGCAGGTGGGAGGCGAGGGCATAACAGGGATCCATACTTGGATTACCCCTCTTTTATCATCTAGTTTGGGTCCTCAGTTAGTGGAACTGTTTGGCCTTGGTGACTGCTGTGCACCTACTTAATACGAATACAATACAATATGATCCATTTAATGCACATCAGATACAGACTTCCTGTCTTTATCAAATGGACATGACTAACATAGTTTCATTTATTTCAGTGGATCTACTCTGAATAGGACTTAAATACAACCCAAAATGAATAACCCCAGTGTCTCATTTGCTACCCAGCTTTTTGAAATGTAGTGGCTGGACCTATAGTTTTGCTTCGCATACCAGAAATCACGTCCCCTGTGGAGTCTTTTAAAAACAACAACAGAACAAAAACATTTCTAAACATATTTTATTTTGCACAGAGCACCTCAATTCCCAGTTTGTCCAGTTTCTGTTGGATGTGATTGAAGATGGGTTGCCATCAGACACCACAGACCAGCTGCCTGACCTGTTCATTAATGTTCTTCTGGCTTTTAACCTTCACATTCCAGGTGAGTAATAAAGGTTTTCCCAGCTGAGATGATGCCAAGGTTTGCAGTGAGCTGTGGAAGATCTTTCACTGTACTTTGTTTAAGTTGCAAGAAGCCTCTGTCTAGGTTTTGGAATGGGTAAGATACAGATTTAAATAAGACACTTGGCCATGCTGTACAGGTGGAAGGGGAGCAGATTTACATTTCTGAAAATATGAGCTCAGGTATTATTAAGGGAGATTTAAACTGCTTCTGGACTAGCCAGCAAGCTCTCATTTCTGCACCTCTTCCTCGAGAGGAACACTTTCCTGCCAACTTGGTAAACATGGTTGGCAGTTTTCCCCTTGGAACTTTACACTGACCTATCAGAGCTCTCCTTTTGCACTGTGATCAGTATTTCCAATTGGCTCAGCAACATGCACACATCTTGGCACAGTTCAGGATTAAATCCGCAGTCACCTCCTTTCTAGCCAGTTCCATGGCCAGCTCTTCTAGGGCACCGTCATTAGAGGTGTCTATAAATTTTGCCTCTTTGTCTGGGTCAGAACACACACTTGCCCAGTCTGTGTGAGGCACATTGAAGTCATGCATTATGATTGTGCTTTCTATGTTGGATGCTTCCCTGATGGTATGTCTTCAGTACGGAATTAGTTTGAGGCTGGCACTGCCCCCTAGAATTATTCTGTGGATGAAGTTGTTCCATTGGAGAGTCCTAGTTTGTTTGGCACTGTGCCCTCTTTGATGTTCCACAGTATGCCCTTCCCTGTATCCCCCCATTTCTCTTTCCACAAGGTTTCCTTTTTGCCCACTACATCTATGGCCTCCTTTTAAAAACGAGCACGCCTATTCTACTGTCTTGACTTGGAGGCTTCTATTGGTAGCATATAAATACCAATACATGTTTTCCCCTACACCCTTTAGCTTCCTTGACTGGCTGTATGTGTCAGGAAAAAGCAGCAATGCAAAAGCCAGCTGCGAGTGTCTGGAATGCAAAACACAATGTTGATGTCTGGAGATGTACTGCTGGGAAAAAGGGGCAGTCCATTCACTGTACTGAGCACCGGATGTTAGCTCAGAGTGTCATCTGACCTGTGCTGGAAGTGCAGGGGTGGAGTGTGACTCTTCTAATGGAGTCTGGAGGGTACAGACACGATTCTATGTACTGCTGAGTGACAGGAATAAAAAGTCATGTAAATAGACTCCTGTCTGTCTCATTTCCCCTCCCTGGGGGGAAAGCTGGAAGAGAGAAGCAGAGGGTGTGTTCTCCTCATGTCTAATGAGGAGAATCGCCGGTTTACGACCTAGTCTGCCGGGAGACGCAGACGGAAGGTAAACAAGTATCTCTCTTTTTTTCTTTTTTTTAAAAATCATATTTATTGAAATTTCCAAAATACAGAAAGTAAAAATAAAACAAAAATAAAATGCATTTAAAACCTTACTTTCATTACCCACTTTCTGGGACTCCCCCCTCCCCCATCCCTACCATATTCCCCTTTCATAACGTTGGTTCTACAAGCTCTCACTCCCAATTTAAAATTTAATTTGTTTAACCCAATATTCAAATTTAAATTTATACAGTCATCATCATTACCTTAAATAAAAATCAAAGATTCTCTCCCCAAGGTCCACCCCATTTTCCTTCCACGAGTTCCCTTTTTTTTTAATAAAGACGCCCCAACAAAGTATAAAAACTATATAGAAATATAAAAAATAACAAGTATATAAAAAGAAAAATTCAGCAAATAGTTACACAGCCTTTGGATTCTAAATCTCCCCCCCCTTCCCCGGTTTAGATTCCCCATGTCCATCAGTCTATCTGTTGTCTGCCTGGAAATCTTAGATCGATAATCAGATTTTCCTCCAGTTCCTTGCCAGTTTTTTTAAAGATATTTTTATGGTATTTAACTTCAAATCTCCAATCCAAAAACGGCCCCTAAGGGCCTTTAGTTTCCTTGGTCTTTAAGGCTCCCCCCATTGTTCTTTCCATGTTGTAGTCCAGTTTCTTGTCTTGTTCCACTGCTAAAACATTCTAATTCAGAAATTTAGTAGCTCTGCAGGGGTTGTTGTTATTCAGGAACAAAAACTTATGTTCAGTCCCTTCGGAAGGTAAACAAGTATCTCACTCAGTTTGCCTCGGGGGAGGCCAGCTACCTCTGGCTGTGAGCTGAGATACTGACAGTATGCTCGTTGTTTAATATTAACCTGTCAATAGTAACCTGTGCACAATCAAAAACAGTTTCATCCTCCTTCCCCCTGCTTTCCCCAATAGGTAAAGTGTGCATGTGAGGACTGCACTTTCATAGTTGTGCTCCATGAAATGTGGAGACTCAAAGCTGGGGTGCTGGGAGGAAATTCCAGTCTGGGACTTCGTTGTAACAAGTACTAGGTCCTTAGCAATGCAGTTAACTGGGCATCTTCCTCCTTTCGGTGATTGGCAGGTGTTCTGCTTATCCCTTGCTGTGCCTTGTGAATTTCATTAGCTGTAGACGCATTGTAGGTTATTCCTTATAATGGTCTTCTGCTGGGCAGCACTTTCTCCAGGAATACTTGATCTCCCCTTGTTCCTGCCAGGCTGAGCCTTTTGGGAAGCAGCTTAGCTTAGCCTTTCTGTTGGTGATTGCAGGCACTTTTTAATGTAATTTGTTGAGTGGGCAGTCATAAGCAGGTCAGAACACACCGTGGTATCAGGCTGCATCTTGTTAATCCTGAATATCTTGGCAAATTATTACGCTGCCAAGTTCTCATGGCCTTGCCTTAATTGCTTTCTGCTTTTGCATGGGATGCCTTTCCACCTTGGCTTCATGAAGTAGAATGGATTAAGCAGTTATAAACACATCCAGTAATTTGCCACCTAGTATTTAAGGAATAACATCATTAAGATATGGGTTATAATAAGTGTGTGTGTGTGTGTGTGTGTTTGTAAATAAATAAATCTGTTGCATTATTAATCACCTAATAGAAACGGATTTAAGTCTATTTTTTCTTCCCTTTTATTCATTACAGTTTTATTCTTTCAGCGCTGGCTAGTTTGAGTAATTACACTGTTTCACCTGACGGGCAGAGCATTTCTATGAATTATTTTGTGCCCACCTGGGGTACAGTGGGAAACTGGAACTTAGTCAAGAACTTAGAAACTAATGCTCAGCCTCTTTTTGGACTGCATTTCTTTTTGTGTGGAAAAAAGCCTATGTCTTTCAAGCCACCAGAGTGTGTAATGCAGAAAAGGCCACAAATTCTGCTTCTCTGAAACCTGTTCAATGTGTGTGTGTTGTCTTCGGCATGGCGCTTTCTGAAATGTTACAGATATTTCCCGGCATGTAGAGGTTCTACTGTTTTCTTCCCTGACACATCTCTGCCTTTCTGTTGTCTTGTTCTGATTTGCCCTAAGAGTGCCAACTAGTATTAGACACAGCATTCAGTAAGTGCAGATGGAGGGAGCAGTAATGGAAGCAAAGACGTCACCATGGCAAGTTGAGGTCATTTGCAAATTGCAAGGGATGGCAAGACAGAATCAGTTGCCTTCTTCCATCCTTATGGGTTTCCCTCCCCACTTCATATATAGCCATATTGTATGGTTCTGAAACAAAAACAAATAAGCCCAAATTCTTATTATGACCATGTATCTCTTCCATCCTAGGCCTTCCAAAGCAACTTGCAGTTGAAAAAGCATAAATAATGTAAAAAAACCAAAAACAAATCATGTAAAAGTGGCAGCACATTCTTAAGGATTAAGGTTCTTTATTTAAGGAATAAAGCACAAAAACATAAAATAGAACAGAACAGAAAGAAATCCTTAAAAATATTCCTCCCTACGCATGAATAGTAATGAGATTGTTGTCCGTGAAACAAGGGGTGGGAGGGAGCTGGCGCAAAGTCAGGTGACTCAGACAGACCAATGGTAGCCCTGATTGGGCAGAGGCTATGGCATCTCAATGTTGTTATTGGTTTTTTTGGGGAAAAATCATTTGCATTCATTTGCTGCCTTCGTTACAAGTTGTTCAGGATGGGAGTATGAAACATACAAAATGAAACTTAAACCAGACTGTGAAATACTAGCTTTTTCACAGGGAGGAAGGGAGCTGTTGACTACTTACTCCTGTCTATTCGTCCTGCACTTCCATGCCCATGCTGTGTGATAGAATGGCATCAATTATGGAATGTGCAGAAATAGCGGTGGGCCTCCACTGCGTGGCATTGTCTGAGCCTCTTTCTGGCTTCTTCCCATCCCCTGGGGTGGTGTAGCGTAAGTAAGCTCAATTTTCTATATGGTTGTCTGAATAATCTTGGCTTCTTAGTTGAGCAGGTGTAGTTTGCTGACTGGAGAGCAGGGAGCTTCACATTACCTAGCAAGACATATTTCTGCAGCTGAATTTTGCAGCATAAACCCTGATGACTATTTCAGGAGCAAGCTGTGAGCCCCTGTTTTGAAACAGTGCCTGACGCAGTGACTAGATGCAAACGCACACAGTAGAAGTGAAGAAGTGTGTATTGTATAAGTTAAACATTTGTTCTAGAATCTTCGGCCAGATTATGAATATGGGCTTCCATGGCTTTAATGCTTGATAATGGCTAGTAGCAAATTCAGTAATTTCATGTATGAAAATTACAAAAAACTATATTTAAAAAAAAGAAAGTAGTGGTATTGATTCCCCCCCCCCTCAGGTTTATAAAGTAATAAAGAAAACTAATAAATGGAGGATACAGGTGACAGCCCAAAGATTGCGGAGGGGACACATGTATAAAATGAAAATGGCATTTTTAACAGACAACTACATTACAACACTGGTTGCATCATAACAAGGCTTCATACAGCAAGGGTTTCTCCAGATGACATATTTCTTGAGCATTCATCTTGACACGCTTACAGAAAGTTTATACAGAGGTTATGCAGTGTCAGTTGTTTACTGAACATTGGTCCTGATTGGTTCGCAAGGAAGTTATATGACAGTGATTGGCTTGCACCATGTCTTTGTTACTTCATTTCATTTGTTCATTTATTTATACTACCCTTCGTCCAAAGATCTCAGGACAGTTCACAAGATAAAAATACAGGATCAAAGTGCAAATAAATACAGTGGTACATCAGTTTAAGAGCGGTCTGGTTTAAGAACGATTTGGTTTACAAACACCGCAAAACCGGAAATAGTGTCTTGGTTTGAGAACTTTACCTCGGTCTAAGAACGGAATCCAAACGGTGGAAGGGCACCGGCGGCGGGAGGCCTCATTAGGGAAAGCGTGTCTCAGTTTAAGAACAGTTTTGGTTTAAGAACGGACTTTCGGAATGGATTAAGTTTGTAAACTGAGGTACCACTGTAGTTAGAACAAAAACAAAACCATAAGCCACCCCCAAACACGTTTAAAAGGTCATAGAATATTAATCAGTTTTACATTTAGTATTATGAGAGAGCGAGAACACCCTCTCCCTATCTACTTTCTCCACACCAAGCATAATTGTATACACCTCTGTTCTGTCTCCTCTTACTTTCCTTTTCTCTAAACTAAAAAGTCCCTTGCCTCCATTCCTTTGATAATTTTGGCAACCCTTTTTATTGTGATCTTGCTTCAGCTCTGCAGTGGCTGTACATGGCATTCCTGGTGCAGTCCCATCTTAGGCAACAGCATTATGATATTGATGTGTTCGTGTTTTTGAGACCTGATGGAAGTGGGATATGCATCTGGGTCGAGTGATCACTATGGGGTAAACAACACTAGCCCTGTTCAGTCATTCTGCTTGGCTGCAAGCCTGAAACACGAGCAGAGACAAGCATACAGAGCCTCCACCATTACCCATGTCGCTATCCCCATTGTGGAGGATGACTATGAAGCAGGGAGCCTCCTCTACTAATAAAAGATTCCCACACACTGTAGGCTCCTGAATAAGTGGCGTTTTGATTGGCACAGAGACCCTCCACTTACAGAGAGAGACCCCTACTTTGCATCGCGACACTCCAGAAGTTGGGGGTGGGCAGTGGAGATGTGTCTTCGCCCCAGCTCTTTTTCCCCATCACTGATAGGTATTGTAACTAAGCCAGTTATAGGCAGCTGGTCACTTCTAATAAAGCCTGTTTTATTTCTTAGTGCCTGAGCATAATGTGATCATGGTTACCATGAGCAAGCACCCCAATGTCAAAACCTTCACAGAAAAGCTTCTTCTTCTCTTGAATCGTGCAGGTGAGTTTGTCTGCAGGTTTCTATTACTGTTTCGAGATAATGGCAGCACTAATGGCCAAGTAGATCTGAAGAGTGGCACCTGCTGACATTGCAGAGGAGGAATAATTGGCAAACAGTTTCTAAGCTCCCGTGAAGTTTTCTGCCTTTTAAAGTTTCTAGGCCAGGGGAGTCGGTTCTGCCTCTGTGGTATAAGGAGATTGACCTGCTGGAATGCAGGTAATTGCTCAGTAAGTGGCAGAACGGCATGCAGTGACCTTATCTGGCCAAAGAGCTGTATTCCAGGTGTGTAGAACTAGACAAAGCACCGTATGGAGTGCAGCTCCCCCAACATCTTAACCGTGGTGTCCTTAGAACTGTATTTTTGGGAACTGAATTTTTAATAGCTGTTTGCAATCACTTTGGAGTGTCTTGGTTGTGAAGCAGAATAAAAGTATAATAAATATTTAGTGCAAAGCTCTGTGCAGCTGTTTCTCAGGGATTTTGAGATCTTTATAACCAGGGAAGATGGTACTGAATAAAGGATCTGGTAGCTGATGTGAAATCCTAATAACCCTCCCCACTTCTTAAAAGCATGCTTCCTAGCCTTGGTAGTCACTGTAACAAACCCAAGGGACCCCCACCTTTGTTCTGTATTTTGCCTCCGCTTTTCCCTTCCCTCCTTCAAAAGGATTTATGCTTCGACAAACTGGTCTTGTCATCAGCTTTGGATCTATACTGATTCTCTTTGTGCCCAACCTCCAGTGATATTTTGAAACCAGGGTGTGTGAGTGGTTGTGTATGTCTCAAGAACTGGATTTTCTTCCCCATTGGCACACTCTGTGAACCAAAAACCTCCAGAGTCTAGCTTCTTAGGGGATCCCTGTTGTGTTTTCTTTCTCTCCCAACCCACCAGCTTTTCAAGTAGCCCACCTATAGAATACTTTGCCAGCGCTGAACATTGTGTTGAGTCTGCTGTAGAGCCTGTTGTAAAGCACTTCATTAAAGCAGGAGAGCTTTTCCCCTACACTCTCTAATTCCCTAAGTATTCTACCTATGCCTTCCTAACAAAGGATTGTGTGGACTAATGTATTTAGGAGCATGGGGGGTCCTGCCTGCTTATGTGTGTGTGTTCAGGCTCCCTTTACTTTGTTGATTTGCTCTTAAATGACTTCCTGTGTTTCATGCTTCTACTTTATCCCTGGCTTAAGCCCTTTTCCAGACTGAAAATGATGTTCTTAGCACTTCAGGCTGTTTTTAGCTTTTGAATCTCCTTCCCTTGGCCTCCTTTCAGATCCTTAGTTGTTGCTAGAAAGCCTACTCTTGACATCTCACTTTGAGTTTATTTCTCAAATGCCAAGACTTAAGCAAGGTTCTCCTTGAACGCCTCCCTGCAGCCACCGTCTTTGTCCCTTGTGCAGGAGTATATGTCCTGCACTTACACTTTTTCATGTACGGAGCTGCAGTGAAGTGGTCCATGGAAGAAGTGGGTGTCTTAGGGGGTAAGCTAAATGTTACAGTTGTATGATCCATGTGTCACAATACAGTTTATGCCAATTTTCTATAAAGAGAGGCGCTGATAGAGAATTCAAGGCGAGGGTAATGCACTTGTGGAAAGCTTTCTCTCTCCTCCTAGGGCAGTGCTGCAATGGGGAGGGAAATCTCTCTGCTCTTCGAGAGACTGGTTTCTTTGCTGCTCAGAAACTAGCTAAGCCTCTCCGTCCACACACATTGTGTATAAATTGCTTCCTTCGGCTAAAGGGAGCTCGTGTCTATCCATGTCACAACAAGCTTCTTTTTCTCTGACCTGTGATCAGACGACCCCGTGTGCATCTTCAAGCACCAGCCACAGCCGCCTCACTCCGTGCTGAAATTTCTACAGGACATCTTTGCCAGCAAGGACACTGCAAACATCTTCTACCACACAGACATGATGGTGATGATCGACATAATTGTGAGGCAGATTGCAGATCTCTCCCCTGGAGAAAAGGTACTTACAGAAAGAAAAAGAAAGCCCATGTCTCCTCTTTGGAAGCTTGAAAAAAGATAGAGGCAGAACTGAACATGAGTGAAGAGGTAGAAGCTTCCTGGTGTGTGTCTGAATGGATAGGCAGCTCTTCCAGCTTGCAGGCATTTGCCACATACCGTATTTTTCGCACCATAGGACGCACTTTTTCCCTCCTAAAAAGCAAGGGAAAATGTGTGTGCGTCCTATGGAGCGAATGCAGGGGGGAGGCAGGCGGGAAAAGCCCCCAAGAGCCGCACACAAGCTCCGTGCGCTCTTGCGGGCTTTTCCACAGGAGGGAGAAGGGACTGACTGGCCGCATCAGTCCCTTCTCCCACCTCCCAGGAAAGCCAGGAGAAGCCGTGCAGCCCTTTTAAAGTGCACGCGGCTTCTGCCGGTTTTGCGGGAGGTGGGGGAATTCCCCCACCTCCCAGAAAAGCCAGGAGAAGCCGCGCAGCCCCTTTAAAGAGCTCACGGCTTCTGCGGGCTTTTGCGAGAGGTGAGGGAATCCCCCCACCTCCCAGGAAAGCCAGAAGAAGCCGTGCAGCCCTTTTAAAGTGCGCGCGGCTTCTGCCGGTTTTGCGGGAGGTGGGGGAATTCCCCCACCTCCCAGAAAAGCCAGGAAAGTCCTGCGCAGCATCTCCCGGCAAGGAGAGGCTGCGCGGGGCTAAAGGGGAAGGCAAAACAGCGAGCGGGATCCATCCCGCTTGCTGCCTTGCCTTCTTCCATAGCTGCGCGCAACCCCTCCGCAAGGAGAGGCTGCGCGGGGCTAAAGGGGAAGGCAAAACAGCGAGCGGGATCCATCCCGCTTGCTGCCTTGCCTTCTTCCATAGCTGCGCGCAACCCCTCCGCAAGGAGAGGCTGCATGGGGCTATGGCTTCTTTAGCCCTGTGCAGCATCTCCCGGCAAGGAGAGGCTGCATGGGGCTAAAGGGGAAGCCAAAACTTGGCTTGCTCCATAGCTGCTCGCAACCCCTCCGGCAGGGAGAGGTTGTGCTCACCCTGTACGCTGCTCTTTGGGGCTGGGGGGGGGGAAAGATTTTTTTCTTGATTTCCCCCCCTAAAAACTGGGTGCGCCCTATGGTCCGGTGCGCCCTATGGTGCGAAAAATACGGTACTTAAAAGCATATCTTCGCATCCAGCAGGGTTAGAAAGATGCTTTTTTAATTTTAAGAAAAAGTAAAGCTCTTAAGAAGCCAAAAGGGACAGCCAGTGCTACAGCTTCTACCTTTTGTCGGTGGGGTTTGTGTACCGGCTCTGAGGCTACACTTGCTGTATAATGAAGGTGCATCTCCTGGTCGTGATGGAATGCTAGAAGCACATTATGCCAATGCTCTAGAACTGCAGTCTTCAACCTTTTCAGACCCAGGGCCCATCTTCAACCCAAACATGCATTTGGGGACCCACTGCCATATATTTGTGTGGTGGAAGCACTGCTGTTGTGACTCACCATAGATCAGGCCACAGCCCAATACAGTTGTACCTTGGAAGTTGAACGGAATTGGTTCTGGAAGTCCGTTCAACTTCCAAAATGTTCGGAAACCAAAGTGTGGCTTCTGATTGGCTGCAGGAAGCTCCTTCAGCCAATTGGAAGCCGCGGAAGCTCTGTCAGACATTCGGGTTCCAAAGAACGTTCACAAACCAGAACACTCACTTCCAGATTTGTGGCATTCGGGAGCCAAAACGTTCAGCTTGCAAGGCGTTTGGGATCCAAGGTACGGCTGTATTTGGTCCTGAACCACCTGTTTAAGACTAATGGTCTAGAGTCTGCATTTGCCTCCTAGGACCAATTCAATGTGCTCCTGTTTTGCAATGAAGTTCTGATGGGTTTGGGGCACCAATATTTTGGCATCTTTATTCTGAAATCACTTTAATATCATCCTGATAGCATTTGTGCTCCAAAAGCTCAAATGGGCACAAAGGTTGTGTTTTGTTCTAGTCTTTCCATTGCTGAACTACTTTTTCTAGTGATTCACTAGAATTATGCATGCATAAGATATATTTTTATATTTCATAGTTGCAAAGAACATCTGTTCTTAAAGCTGTCACCCATCTCAAACTTTTTCCGATAGGCTAGACTACAAGACCAATAAATATGCATGGCTGACAGGATCTTTTCAGAGGAGGGCTTCTCAGTTTATTGGGCCTTTGGCTGGTCAAGGTTGGGGATTTTAGCTGTCTCACTTTTTGGATTCACACAGTGAGCCTGAAACCTAGAGGAATGTTTCTCTAAAGCATTATCTACCATCTCCTTTCTCCCCTGTGTAAAGCAATGAGGCTGTATATTCTAGAGTCTGCATTCTTTCTGGCCAGGGTTAGTTGAGTAATTGTTCTCATCCCTGAAGCTGCTTGAAATGGAAGAGGCACATCTAGCACTGGGATGTTGTTTATTGAGCCACCTGAGTCCGAGTCCAGTTGACTAGTGTTTGAAAGCCATTCAGCTAATTCGATTGGTTGGCTAAATAGATTTCCAGAACTCCTCTGAAAGTGAGAGCCCCTACAGACCAATGGGGAAAACAAAGATTGCAGAGGAATCTTTCACCTATGAGCCTATTCTATTTGCAATTGCTTGTGCTGCAGTCTTGCGCTTGACGAACAGATTGTTTTCCAATGTCTGTGTTTCCGCTTGTGTTTATCTTGCTGCTAAAGCCCTTTTCGATGTCTTCTGTTCCCGCAGCTGCGAATGGAATACTTGTCTCTGATGCATTCTATTATCCGGTCGACGCCATACCTGCAGCACAAGCACCGTTACACTGACTTGCAGAGGACCTTGCAGCGCATCATGGTGGAAGAGGAGGAGAGTCAGCAGTGCCAGATGGACAAAATGATAATCCAAGAGATCTATAAGGAGTTTCCAGAAATATCTCCTGGAGACAGCTAACTGGTGCGGGGGAAGGACAGTTTGGGATAAGAATGCCTCTTGTGGTTGTATCCTTTCCATCCCTTTTTCCGGTACCACTCATACCTTATTGTCCCTTCAGGTGAGCCCTAAGGTTTCAAGTGGAGTGCCATAAGACCCTACGGAAGAAATGTTCAGCATTTATGCAAGTCAGTGGGCAGTTAGCTAAAGTTGATTGTTGTCTGCCCATTTCTAAGGGGTGGGGCAAAACAGCTGGAGACAAAAGAGGTGTCTTCACAGATGGAGTGCTTTGACAAGTCTAGGAGAATATCCCTCCCTAGTGACCTTTGCACAGGAGAGAGGGCAGAGGCCTGTGACCTTGAGGGTCTTTGAGCTGCACCTAGGATCCCAAAGCAAGAGGTCTCTGCTGTCAGCATCCATTTCCACCGGCATTTCTTGTCCTGCCGCTACCCAGTGGAGTAGGCCAGTGTTTGCGGCCAGCTTTTGTAACATCTCGTCTGCTGTGTCTAGTGCTCAAGTGCTGCAATCCTAGCCAAGGAAGCTGCTGCTTGCTACTCTCTTAGTCCTGTGTCCAGTGAGCCTTTCAGTCCTTTTTAAACCCCGCTGCTTGATCTCTGGGTTAGAGACCGGCTTATCTGGGGTCTAATACAAGTAAGCACCTGCTTCTGTTCCTGTTCTATGCCGTGGTGTTTGCGCTTAAATTTCTCTCCCACGGCGGCAGCAGAGAGATAACGATGGTCCAGGCAGCAGGAGTTCCTTCGACAGATCTTCTGCCTGGACTCACTGCTAAGGTGTGTCCTTTTTGAGAGTTGCTGCTTGTCTCCTGCGATGTACTGGCCTTGTTGCCTCTGGCACTGCACACACAAGGACCATGTATCTGTAGATGGCAGTGCACGCTCTTCTCCCTTCAGCCTGGGGGTGTTTCTTGCCTTGAGCTTAATAGCAATTGGTTCTGCCTAGCTTTACCTTTTTATGTCCTGAAGGCTGCTTGAGCCTGGTATCTGATAGCTCTGCTCCTTAATATGCACAAATCGGGAGAGCTCCCTTTTCTTTATCTATTTCCTCCAGGTCTCCTGCAAAATGGATTTGCCTGCTTTTTTCCTATTTAGATCTTTCCGACAGGCTCACATACTAATACGGGTCTGTAATATCTTAATAAACATGCACGCTGCCAAAGCTCTTTGCAGAGTGGGTAAACAAGAGCTTTGCAACCTTCAGTGTAGAAGTAGCTTGAATTAAAACTGGAAGTATTTGGATAACCTCTGAACCTAATGTGAACCAAATAAATTAAGGAGTTGCCTTGGGCCAGGACATCTGCTTTGGTATGATGTCAGTGCCGGGAGCCTCTAGAATTGGCCATCAGGTTTGAGCTGGTGAGCAAAGTGTTAGTTTGGGGGTCACTGTCTGAGACGAGTGAACAGCCCTGTTTTTAAGTGAAATGTTTAAAATAAAAACCATTGTGAACGTTGAAAGGGATTTGTATTTTCATAGAATCAAATAAACGTAGTCAATGGATAAATATTTCTGTGTGTGTGTTTAATTTGATAATATTTGCATATTCTGTATCGGTTGCAGGATATTGGAAGTGTGTTTTTACAAAGGGCAAGACAGCACTGCAAAATTGCTAGCTAAAGCAGTCTGCACATGTTGCTAACACTTTGTTTTATAGCCTTGGGCCTGGTGAGGCCTGGTGACTTCAAAACATGGTTGCCCCTGTTCTCCCTTGCCTGCTCCACTTCACTCCCAGAACCAGCTCAACAATGCAGATAAAGAGGATATCTGGGGGGTCCCAATGCAACAGGCACCCAACCGTACAAATAGGAGCACATGAACTTAGACCATTGCACTGCTTCTGGTGCGGCAAACTCCCAGTGTAAATGGAGAGAGTACCCTAGCATTCTCTGCAATTTGAGCAGGGACAGCTCTGCCCTGTCTAGGACAACCATATAATGCTTGCAATTCTCCCTCTCCCTGTCCCCACCTCAAATATGGGAGGATGAACAAAATGAGAACCACCACTCCAACAGGGTTTGATTCTGTTCGTTTTATTTTAAATGATAAAAAACCTTGCAACTTTCCTCCTCCAGTTTGACATACAACTTTTGCCAGGGGAGGCGGGTAGGAAGCACCAAGACTGTAATGGCAGAGCAAATGGTGCAGACTGAGGGGGTTTCTCTTTGTTTGTTTGTTTGTTTGTTTGTCTCATCCCAGCAGTGAATGACGTAGGTGGCTGGCATTGAGGAAACTGTCAAGAGCTTCTGCAGCCCTGTGTGTTCATTTGATTATCTTAAAATGATTCAATTACAGTTGCTTCCTAGCTTTGGGAGTTTGGGCAATTTCAGCTAGTCAGTGAGAACAAATAAGCTCCAGGTGTCTTTACTATTGGTGGGGATCATTTAAAACACCATCTTTTGCTTGAGAAGTGCCTTAAGTGAGGTTCATTGAGCTTCTCTTCTCCAGTCAGGATATCATGTCCCGTGCCGGATTTATGTATAAGCTAAACAAGTTGTAGCTTAGGGCCCCACTCTCTTGGAGGCTCCCCAAAAAATTAAAGGGGGAAAAACTGGATGTACATTTCCAAAATATAAGATAAAAAACCAAATAAAATAAAACCTACATACAGTTAGAACTTAATAATTATATCACTATTAATATACTTAATTGTATTGCACAATTAATATACTTCTTAATTGTATTTCAGTTCAACAATTACTTTGATAAAATACATATTTTGTTATGTGCAAATGGCCTTAGATACCTATTAGGTCCATAAATTACCATATAGCATATATTCAACACAAAAAACAGCAACAATTTGTCAGCCAGCCAGTCCTTTGACAGCCAGACATATAAAGGGCCCCATTACCTTCAGTAGCTTAGGGCCTCATCAAACCTAAATCCGGCCCTGATCATGTCCTAGTGTGGTCAGATAATTGCTTCTCCCATCTTTGGTTCTGCAGATCATGAAGAAGTCTTCTTCCTTTTTTCTTCATAGATTAAAACCACTCCTGTGTGACACAGAGCACTTAAGTCAGGGTTGGCAAACCTGTGGCCCTCTGTATTGTGTTGGACTGCAACTCTCATGATCATTGTCTATGATGGCTGGGGGCTGCCACCCAACCCCCTCAAATATTTTATTGGGGGGACCAAAGGGACCTTGGTCGCTAGGAGTTGGCTCCTATGCTCCTGACTTCCTACCTAGTTCAGTATTTTGTGAAACCTTTTAGAACATCAAGAGGACATTAACTGAATACTTCATTCCTTGCTGTAGAGGCCAAATTTGCTGGGCTTATAAACAACCTATGCATGATAATACATCAAAATTAAGGTAGAGATAGATCTGTCACCCATGAATTGCATTTTGTCTGCATTTAAAATTGCAGACCATCACATTTTTGCTTGCAGGGCTGAATTCTTTTTTTTTTAAGAAAAGCAATGCATGATGGCAGCAGGTACTGCTGACTGCTCCCTACACAATCTCTCTCTCTCTCTCTCTCTCTCTCTCTCAGATTGAAAATAGGTGTAGTGCAGTTAGGCTTGTCTGCCAATCTCTGCTCTTCTGTGGCAGTGAAATAACTTCAATAAATTGAGAAGGAACTAATATCTCCAAGGTGCTTGATAAGGCCTTTCCAGGATATTGTACAAGGAAGATGAATAGCTTTTGCAAAGCCTTCCTCATATTGTGATAAGGCCCATTATGTAATAACGGTGTCCTATAAACTGAAGGAGACATCTTGTCAAAGAGTCTGATTGGAACGGAGCAGGCCTGGCATTTAATGAGATGCCTTTGACCCCTATGTCTGCCTAAACGCCTTTCCTAAAAGAGGGTAAGGGGAGGGGGATGCTATAAGCAGCCCCCTAGCAAGGCTATCTTTGTTCACTTTTGCATGTATGCCTTGTGCTGTAACCACTGTTGGCCCTAGAAATTTCAAAAATTGTGTGTATTTTTGCTTTCATTTTTGACACTACCATAAGAGTCCCTTAATCTTTTTATACATTTAGTTGATGTCTTGGAAGGCTCACAAAAAGTGAAATGGGCAAGGTTGTTCCTGGTGTCTGTAGGAGGGGTATGCCACTCTGAGGACAGTTTTGACAGCATGGGAGTGAATTGTTGGATAGTCTGCAGTGGGGGAATCAAAACTACATTTATGTATATCTGATCGTACAAGGATATTCCTACACAGTGCAGAAGAAAGGATGTACATATAACATTTTTTAATTCATTTTGCTAGCTGATCCTGGGTGACTGGCTTTCCCCCGCCCCCTTCCTACTGATACTAATTTTACAGATGAGCAAGATGCGTCCTTTGCTCACGAATTTCGTGGAGGAATTCAGAAATGTGATGTCTCCCAGGCCCCTTAGTCCTTGTTCCACTGAGAATGTTTGGCTTTTCCCCTCCCCTGGTGGGTATAATCTGCATTCATTTTTTTTACTTTGCATTTTCTGAAAGAGGCAAATCAGGAGTTGAATCAATTCTTACTTACTAGAAAAAATGGAAGTGGGTGCAGGATTACCAACTAAAATTCTAAGTTGGAACTTAATTGTTCTTATTCTTGGAGTGTGCGTGCATGCACATGTCTGTGTGTGTGCAGTTTTTTTAAAAAAGTACAATGATTTTAAAAAGCTGACTATTAAGCAGTATATAAATACTTGAAATAAATAATAAATGTCATCTTCTCTGTAAGAAACATCTCACAAAGGAAATCCTTCAGTGGTTAGTTGTTGCCAGAAGATTCACTAACATTGTTGAAAATGTATTTTTAACCACCTGTTGTTAAATAACAAAGCTGCTCTGGTAAGAGGGGGCAGTCTGTGTTTTGATTTGTTTGAAAGACACCTGTCAGGCAGAATTGCAGACTTGGAAAGTTTGTAAAGCAAATTTTTATTTTTTAAAAATTATATATAAAAAAGTGGTTTAAAATGTGATTTTAATGCAAACATAGTGCAGATGCCATTCATGGGCTGCTGCCAGGCTGACTCTATCTTCGGGTGAGATTCAGTCACATACTGGTAAATTCAAAACAAAAAAAATAGTGGGCTGGGAAGTCTGGCCCAACAAATGAATCAGAACGAAATCTCATTAACTAGCCAGTGTTGTCTAAATTTCCTGCAAGAACATGTAATCTTCTTGCAAACATATCACAATGAATGCTCAACAAACAGGTCAGCTGGAAGTGTCCGTTGTCTCTCAAAGCCGAATCCACAAACCTTTACTGAACACAGAAGCTGAATGCTGCTCTTTCTGCAGAAAGAGAATCTGCTCAGTGCAGGCAACGTTATGACTTAAATCCAACCAAGTGTTAGCTATGCAGTGAGTTTAGTAGGCTTGAGAATGCCCCAAGCTGTGTTCGGTATAGACCTAAAAATATTGCCACAGTAGGTCTCCTATTATTTTACCCTGAGCTTAAAAATGGGGACCAGAAACTAGTTAGCCATCACAGCATCCAGGCAATGCTTCAGAAGATGCTCTCCTCAACCATCCCTTGGCCACCTGCATGCACTCACACTGCGGTGCAGCTAGGGCTCAATCTTGGGGCTGAAGTCCAGGGGTCTACAACTTGGAGGGGCCACAAATGACCACCCAGAGAGCAGCAGCAGATAGCAAACTGGCCAGTATCAGCCCCTAGGACTGTCATAGGCATGTTGGAGCTATTGGGGTTGATGCTGGTCCCCACAGCATCCTTTCAGAACTATCTGAGGAGACGTACAGGGTTACAGAGCCTATTTTTATCGTTTGTACTTTTAGAATATATTAACCTTGTCTACAGCAACATGGGGGACAACAAAAGCAGCCATCTTATCCCTGTCGCCAGGATGGTGCTATGATTTAAGTGAGGCTTTTTTAAAAAATGGGAAATTGCACGTGCTCAGAAGGCTTTTTCTTACTAGGGTTGGCAAGCTGCTTTTTGCTCTAACACATCAGGAAAGTAGAAGCAGTTGTATGGGGAGGTGTGGAGGGAGGTGTGCACAGCATCACATAAATTTGCAGCTGGGTTCTCTCCAATTCTTCTGTAAAAAGCACGTTCACTGGTCCCAACACAAGAAAGTGTAATGTTGTGACGGCAATCTGCCCCAGTTACAACTTTTCCATCTATCCCTTCTTAAGCCACTAATTCGGCCACCGCATTCAGTAGATTGCAGCTCCTCTAGATACAGCATGGTAAGAGGGAGGAAAAATGGAACCTAAGATACTGATGAGCAAGGGTTAAAAATACTGATTAACCAAAAACAAAACCCTTTCTCCTCTCCCTCCACTCATCGCCACATCCCTGACGGTTTGTTTCCATAAAGATAGTCATCTTCTTTTTCTTTTTAACTTCCTTATCCCAACATCTTTTAAAAATGTGGTTGCCCGAAAGGGAAGCCTTGTTGTGGGTCTTTGGAGCTGAAACTGTGTGCATTGTGGTCTTGTGTAAGGCTAAAACAAAGGCAGCTTTGGGAGTTAAATAACGAAGCTGATGACAGGTTTGCAAATGGAACAAAGCCTAGGTTAGCGGACAGCCTCTTGCCTCCATTTCTA